GTAAATTAAAATATATTGACAGTTTCTTTTTATTATTTCTCAGTAACAATATAGTATGAAAGGATTTTAGTAATATTCCACATCAAAGTGATCGAACATTTTGAAATGTTTAAATTAATATTCATATTTCACGGTTGACGGATCCTCTTGTTTACATCGCTGTTCAATGATTTGCCGTGAATGGCTTATACTTAGATTGCATCTTCATTATCTCTATCGTAAACTTTTAAGTCTCACATAAAAAATTAAGTTCTTCGTATTTTGTAATTCAATGTATGTAATATTCTTGTAGTCCATGGCCTAGACGGGATGTTGCTTTGCTGTGGTGTGTCACGCCCTACTTCACTTGGAAAAGTTCGCGCCAGCTATTAGCGTAATTAAAACGCTACCAAACTACAAAAAAGATTCATCACTACGACGCTGTGAATATGTCCAACTTATATTTTGTTAAGAATAACAGCAGCGCAGTTTCGAAGAAAGGGAACTTAGTTAATTAACTGCTTTATTTCAGGGAATACCTTAACGAGACGTATATTCAAACTCAATTATTAATGAACTCATTATGTAGTTATCGTTGCGTTGCAAATGCCTGTTCAGTAATTTTGAATACATCTGACTACACAAGATTTCACAAAATGGTATATAAAGATATGGTTAACAATTATTCTGACAGCTTGTTAACGTCTCTGCCGGGAACAAGCCACTTCAAACGCAGAACGTTTTATCGGATTTCTATTATAAACGCTTACCTATTTATTTATCATTCCATGCTTTCCACGTTCGCTTTTAAATCTGTCGTACCTACCAATAAAACGTAGTGATTAAAGAAACTAGAGATAATAAAATGAGACCAGTGGAGCTCCGTAGTTTGAAACAAAAGTATAAATATTAATAAAATAAATCGTTTAATTACAACTACACTCTCTCCCTGCTATATTTCTTTCATTTATTAATGTCTTATAATAAATAATGTAGGTACATAAAAATAAGTCATGAGAAGGGAACCGTGTAACTCCAATAAGGATGATGACGGGATATGAAAATTAAAAAAATATTTAATCTGTCAATTAGGTAATGAATAAATATTAGATACGTATATTTTTATTTTGTCATAAAAGAAAACAATAAGTATTGTATCGGACCCATAGCTACGTCATTTCGAAGTACAAAACGTACCTAGAAGTGATGTAACGTCATATTATAAACCAACATACAGTATGTGTTTCCGTAAAAAAATAAAAAATAAATGGCTAATATATTAAAATAATATACCAAAAGGACATTAAAAAAAAATTTAGTCATCTACCTATTACATCTAATATCTTTGCATAATTTGAACAATTAGCGACCTCGTTCAGTTGCTTTATTACTTTATCTCTAGCTTAACTGCCCTTCATATCACACTTCCACTCACTAAAATTCTTCCTGTTTCTAAAATTATAGTAAATTATATAAAACAAGAGCGAAAATGTGAATAGACTGTTAAGTACAAGATGAAGTGTATATTATATAAAGTTTGAACATCATCCAATTAAAGTGCTGAATGTAATTAAAGTTTTGGTAATCAAGCGACCAAATCCTTCAAAATGACTTACAAACATTGAAGTGCTTTAATAATGTTCAAAATAACGACATAGAAAATATAAAATTGGGGTGTAAGCGAACCCAGCAAATAGAAGAGTAGACGCGTGATGAGGTGACGCTTGCGCGCCGGCCGCTGACGCCGCTCCTTGCCAATGATGGTGGAGACGCACCGAGCGCCGCCGCCTCGATGTGCGCGCGCGCTCGAGTCTCGCACCAAACCCGCCTCAGCATCGGCGCCGCCTTCGTTGGCCGGCAGTGGAACTGTCATGCACCTGCGTCGACGCCGACACAAAACTGTTCACTTTGGCGAAAATCTACTGATGCAAGTTTGCGCTGACCGAGCACACTTAGCAGCACTTGGAGCGAGAGTTCCTGATGTTTCATTTTGCCACAAAGCTCATACAGGGCTTCGCAAAGGAGATGCCCGCTTCTGTTGTGTTGCACATCACTGCTGTCTAGCCGCAGGAGCTCTTGTAGCACTTACGTCGAGCGGGCGACCGAAGCCACGCAGAGAGCGCAGTGCAGACTCTCATTCAAGCGGCGGTGAGACTGGGGATAAAGGAGAAAGCGGTGGTAGTAGCTCAGCGTCCAAAGAGCCAAAACGTAAAACTAAACATCATCACCACCACCACCATCACCATAAAATCCACAGTTGTCCATACCATGACGTTGCGCCACCGCCTGAAGACGAGCCTGATGAAAAAGCTATTGTTCCAAAAAAAACTGTTTCGCCTTATCTCTATATACCTAGTAAGTTAGAGCCTAATGTGCAACAGTTATTCAGCTTTATAGAAAGCGTACTGAGTGCCTGGGCAGCTGAAGAAGGTCTGACAAGTACTGGGGAATACTCAGAACCAGACGAGCGCATGGTGCGGAGGCGTAAACTAAACAAGTATAAGAAACGCACCGATGTGCTCAATATTCGGCGTATAGTGTATGACGTGTCTATTCTGCGCGGAACAAGGCTGCTTGGAAATGTTAGATTTCGTCATTACCATTGGAAAGGAACTGCACAAACTTGCAACGAAGCATTTCTTCGGAAGGTGAGGCCCCTTATGATATAAATTTATAAATTCTTCAAAGTAGGTATAATGTAAAACTCAAAATGTACCTATTGTGAATAATAGCGTTGGAAGACGTAAACCGTTACAATGGGGCTGAGAAGAAAATACGTTGAAGATACCTAACATTTTGACCTTATTTTAGTTTCCTCTTAGTGGAAACTGCAATTTCCCTTTTGCTAATGAGGGCTTTTATTCTCTTTACCCTATTTGAAATATAAGGCTTTGTGGGTGCTATTTTCTTTTACATTAATTAGTGTTGTATTTCTATTTCACACAAGTAGGTAGGTATGTCCGCTTTGGTTACGTAAAAATAGTTGAAGGTAAATGAACTATTTTATCATACCTAATATTTTTTTTTTAATTATTGTAGTAAGTACGTAGGTATATTATTTATATGGTACAATAATCCTCAAGCTTTAAGGTTTTAATAAAAATCTGTCGTTGAATTCTAAATGCTCTCGTGACTTATTCAAATTAATTACACACTAACTTTTACGATACTATAAATAATTTACGTAGGCAGTAGTAGTACACCTACGTACTTATGTACATACGTAGGTACGCATTTACGTAGGTATGTCACATGATATTAATATAAAAAAGCACTTATTTAACACATAAACAAATACGTAAATACAGTTCTGAAATAAATACTAAATTACTCAAACTTATAGTTGTAGTGACTCAAGGTATATTTTTCAAACATAAGGTTCAAAATCTGGTATAGATAAAGATATCTGGAAAATACTTCATTAAGAAACCACTGGCCACTGAAAATCCGTGACGAAACATAATAATATAGAAGCACACCTATGTGTTTCTAAATCTATAGTAACTACGAAGTCACGTTGTGACATAGCAAAAGTCCAAACAAGAAAAAGTTAGTTATATAACGTCATTACAATACCTATCTTCAACGAGAAACGACGGACAGATATATTTATCGAACTATGTGGGTACTACGTTAAACTACACCAAAGTTATAGTTTGTTCCAGGGTTGCGATTCCCAGTTAACTAAGCGAGGCGCAATTAAGTATTATATCTAGGTAGATGAGTTGTCCAGTAGCTGGTGGCATAACTAAGCTTACGCTTTGAGGTGCCAAGAAATTCATATAATGCAATTTAATTTAATGCGGTTGTGCGACTCACAACACCAAGCCTTGCTGTTTATTTGCAGTGAGGGAGATTTCAAATTTATTTAATCTCATTTGGTTGTACCTTACTTTGTAAAATTAAAACTGTATGCTTTATAACACTTCAACAAATATATATTAATGCTCATTCTTTTGCAATATTATACATATGCAAGTCACAATTATTGTAAATTTTATAAAAATGTAGAAGCATATAGTATTCTTTTTTGTGAAAGACGGTGGCAAGGGCGCTGTGCGGCGTCAAGAGCCATCGAGCCGAGAGCGTGCTACCGAGGTCCGCATACGCCTCAAAGCAACTTTTCTTATATACTATGTTGTATTCAAAAGCGCAAGACACAATACCACGTAATACAATATATATTTTTACGAAATCTGCTGGCCTTTACTTAATAATGATAAAATCTCATACAAAACGTACCTCTTCAAATATCGTCCAAAATCCACCACTTCAAATCAAAATCTGTCCCTACTTACAAATGTTAAATCCCAATATTGGTTGTTACCCAATATGATTTCCAATGACTACGTCAGCTCACAATCAGTCATCGTTTATTTTCAAACACACAATGTAGTTAGTAATTTTCTGCTTCCTCAAATTTTCTGCGTAGAATGAAACTAGAAAGACTTTTAAATGTAACTGAATTAATAAAATTAAATTTGCTCCAAGAGGAAAATTAACAAAAAATCGGTAGAATGGCTTTGAACTTTTCTAATTACTTATTAAAAATAGAACTGATTACAACTGTAGTAACTTCTAGGTAAATAAAAAGTATTGAAAGTGCTGAAACAGTCTCGTTTAGCACTCGTTTTTGTGTTTTGCACCAATGTGCACCTTGCCTGGCACCTGAGAGGTGAGGTAACAATTTCAAAAGTGGAAACGAGGGGTGGTCTGGGGGTGGAAACTGCGTTACACTCTAAAATGTTGAAAGTGTCCAAGTTTGAACTTATGTTGTTTGCGCGAGATTTAAATGACGTCACTGCAGACTTTACTGCACCGTATTTTCTATTATGTTTCTGCCCTCGCGTTTTAAAAAACAATTTCTTGTTTATGAACAATTTTTAGAGTTTAAGTTCAAATGATTGTTCAATTAACTTTTATGGTATTCTCAAACATGATAATAAATGTCGTATAGGTGTGACAAAAAAAATATACCTTTAAAAAAAACATATTGTAATTGTACATTTAATTCCGTACAGATATCGGATGATGATCGCATGTCGTTAACGACGGCGGTGTCTGACGAAGAGGACCCTGGTGAGAGCGCAATGAATTCTCCTTACAAAGGAAAGCAGACAGGCGCTGCAGCCGCATCCTTCAACTGCACAGGAGCCGTCAGGAAAGCTGGGTAAGTTATTGTATTACATTCTTGAAAAGATTTAAATGAAATATGCCATTTCAGAATTCGTGGCGGGATTTAGTTCCACTCTGATTCATTTTATTGTCAAAAGAGCCAAGACCTGGTTTACCGCAATGTTGAACAGGTACCTTAAGTGTGATTAAATTATCTTGTAAGCTTATTTAAACTTGTGAAAAAAATAGATTTACTTAATTCTCTATAATGACATTCTTAATTATCTAACTTATGACTTTCTCATAATTTCTGCGTCCCTTTTGGAACAAAGCAATTAATTAATTATGAGTTGTGATCCCATTTATATTTCACGTGCCAAAATTAATAAAGTAAATGATCACCGGAATACTTAGGCCTCGACTTATTTAATAACGATATTCTAAAAATTCTGGCAACCTTTTTAACTTTAGGTAATTATTATCAAATCCCTATAAAAAATGTAGGAATGTGCCAATTTTAGATTAAAGGATAAGAAATATTTTTGAAATGAATAACATAGACTTGACTCGGATGAATGACGATATTTTTTGTAAGTCGAAAAAGAAAATTAAAAAATCCGACGTAATAATCCGCTCTCGATAATTCTACGTTTATAGCAATTTGAATTTTAAAGAACTATTTATTGCCTCGATATTAATGGTATTTGTGAAGACAATAATCAAACTCCTCTAACTCGTAAATGACTGATATTTAGCCTTTAAAAAGTAAATTAGAATGAACCCAAAGGGCTAAAATATTGTGCCTATACGAAAAACCTTTACTTGTAAAATATAACCTTCGTCTCCGCTTTTTCCCAGACTATTTGTAAGGTTTGGCTCGGAAATACCGAACCATATATGATATCCAATAGAAGATATATTAATACTTATATGTACCGAATTTATGTAAATCTGCATAATATATTAAGGGAACGAAGATATAGTTTGTGAGCGGTAATATTTCAAGACGGTCCCGAGTTATTTGGTTAAGTCTAGGAATATTTATAATCCAATAAACGACGAACATGTGGATAAACATGTAACATGATGTATATGTTATGCATGACTTAATTTATTACATCGTTACCGTAGTTACATTTAGGTGAACCGCAATTTCATAACTGACATTTCGGTTGGTAATTTAAGTTGTGTGGGATATTTACGCCTACTTCATCATAAAATGTATCTTACAAATACAATCTATGAATGTAGTCCTAATATTTAGGTACTTATCAACTGGATTCAAAAACGAAAGTTCGTATGAAGAAAATGATTGCAATATAAAAGTGAAAAATAGCCACAGCTCGACCGTTACAATAAATCTCACGAGACCATCTAGTCCAATGGACCATAATTATCATTATAGTCATTTTGCTTAGGTCTGCAGAGAATAGATAGATCTTTTCTCCTTTTTTCTATCCTTTCAAGTGAACATTTTTTCCGTGATTCTTACTAAGAAACTCCAAGAGTCATTATCTTTACTTACTTCTACCGTGATACATAATTCACCGGTAGCATGTATTCACCGTTCGCACCGTGTGCTTACATCGACACTTCATTGTGCACGTAGCGCCCGTGTGAACAAAACAAAGGTTTAATATTAATACCTGTCCTTTGTGTCGTTTTCGAGAAGCCTTAATAAATGTACGCGAGATATGAAGCGAAGGAAAGGAAGTTGACATCGTGTGACGAGCGCCTTCTGTCAAGTGTCATAGTCTCTATTAGGAAAAGCCTACGGCGTCCTTTATGTTCCTTGAGGCTACAATTCCTCTTCCATGAATTCCAAATGACCGGAGGGAAATCTTAGCCGTGACCTATTCAACGTAGTAAACGCGTATAGACTAAGCAGACAAGATGGTGTTCTGCCTACTAAGCATCCTTACAAATCCGACCAGGACATTGAGCTTTTTGTTCAATAAATTCCTATTTTCCTTTATTTCGTAGCAAATTAAATTCTATTGTGAATGTAATTCGTTTTCTAAAATTCTCTTTTATTTAGTATCATACCTACAGTTACAAAATTTCGATTTACGTTTGATAAGCCACGCTTATTTCCCAGCACTTTTATTTTATTTGCAATGAATATGAGCGCCATCTCTATAAATATTTATAAGAGGTAATAATTCTTGGGTACCTATCGAAATATCATGATTAATTTCCGAAGCTTCAGTTGATTGGTTTTTTTATTTGTTATTCGGAAATGTACCGGAATAACATTGAAAGATTTGTGCCTACCTTTATATGAACAGAAAGCTTTTATTCTTGATTAACTCGTCGAGTACCGGTTTTATAGACACAATTAAAGAACAATAGGTCGCGGTCACCGGTGACCGCTCGGTGTTTGACAGATTAAGTACGTGTGGAAATCGTACATGTGGAATTGGGTGGAATATGTTTTTTACATACATACTGTGGCAACGTGGTTTATGGTCACCATAGCTTACAAGCAGGACAAATACGTTATTGACAATATATAAAGACAAAACCTTTTTTATTAAGGCACTTTTTCAAAGATAATCTTAATAATAAAGTCATTACAAGCTTTTATGTAAATTGCAATGTACGTGTGGACATCCACATTCACACAACAATAACTTTTGAAACGATATCTTCAACCGACTCAGTTGATATAATGTTGTCTACACGATTAGTTTGCATGACCATAAATGTTGCAATTAATGCTGCTGAATTCAAATGATGTAAACGCTTGTCTTCAGTCTTCTTGTATTTATCATCGATGGATATTAATTTTTGTACTTTATACTCTTTGCTAGCCAAACGTCCAATGGTAGGTTCAATAAGTGACTTACATATGTCAAACTGAATAAGAAAAAAACTGTCAGATATATAATGATGACACTAATTTTATGAAAAAAATAAAATAATAATTTTAAATTTATATTTTATGATAAAAAAATAAGTAAATATGCAACATGTTTAATGAATTAAGTTAGGATCATGTTAATGAAAAATTATAAACATTAGTATGGATACGAAAGTGGGACCTGATTCTTCTGACCCATCAGTTTATCGTGTAAGATCTGACATCAAAGTAACTAAGAATCGAAAGAAAAAGCGAATTCCTACCCCAGTTAACGTTATTATATGGGCTATGGAAGTACTTGGACGGCGTAAACATGGTGTATCAATAGAGAAAATACGAAATCTAGTCAAAACGCACTTTATTCTGCCTTACAAGGATCAAGAGGTCGATAAAAAAATACAAATGACTGTTATGTTTGCAGTCGATTTTGGAATTCTTGAAGCATCAAATAATTTATTTTTCTTGAATTATCCCAATCACTAGAGCAACCCTTTTATAAGGAAATGTGAATAAGTTGAGTGACAGTAATATAATTATTATGTACGTTTTGAATTGTAAAGTTATAAGTGTAAAGTAAATATATTTTGTTAAATAATTAATGTTTCTCTTTAACACAGTCGTGTACCTACATCCCGGCTCGAGACATTTAGTATTCAGTCAATATTAATTAAGAACAAGTAAACTTATTTTACTCAGAAGCTGTCTGTTGTTGAATTGATGAACATATTCATTTAATATTTATCAATTAATGCAATTATTTGCTATACATGAAAATGTACATACACCTGCTGTCGTGCATTTACAATGCAATTCGAATGAAAAGTTAATGAGCAAAGTATTGAATGAAAACATTAAAAATATCGAATAAAAACATTAAAAAAGCATTTTAGTGTACAAGATTGTACCTTTCCGTTTAATTGTACCTAAATAGATCGAAAACGATAACGAGACATAAATAAGTAATGTTTGGTCTGATTAAAATTATTATATTCAAATGTTCGTCATCAAATATCAATTCAACATTCAACAGTATATACCTACAGCCGAGTGGTTGCAATTGCAACTGCCGGGCAATTACTAATATATTACTGATTTTTTTTTAAATTCTGAGTACTACTCAGCACGGAGTATGGAACTGTGCCCGGTATATGGCAATAGGCTCACTCCTTATTACATGGGGCTCGTAACATAAATAGTGAAAAGTGGGTGTTACATTGTATAGTGGTATAACGTGCACCTCTGCTTACCTTTGGAGGATAAAAGGTGTGATGTTATGTTATAAAATACAATAATTACGGAAATCGGTCCAATTAACTTTATTACTGTAACTAATAGTTGTCAGTTTCCCACTACAAGCAAACTACATAACAAACTTCGTAACCTCGTAACCGTAAACCACGACATTTACTATAATGAAGTTTGACTACCTGCCTACTGATACCGGATAATTTTACTAAATTATACATAGCATAATAACTATCTAATTTCAGTCACATGACTTCAAAACCATTTGACATATTAATTATTTTAAGCATTCATCGCTTTAAGATTAATGAAGAATCATGTTCTAGGTTCCTGAGCGTGAAGAAATGGCTTCTCCGCAAGAAGCACCAGATTGAATTGGCTCGCAAACGTGGTTGGAAAGGGTACTGGGTGTGCTTGAAGGGCACTACACTGCTTTTCTATCCTTGCGATTCCCGCGAAGGCCGCTCCGTGGAAGCAGCCCCCAAACATTTGATCATAGTTGATGGAGCCATCATGCAACCCATACCAGAGCATCCAAAACGTGACTACATATTTTGTCTGAGCACCGCATTTGGTGACGCCTACTTATTCCAAGCACCGTGTCAAGTAAGTTTTTGTTATCGTTTTGTTCAGTCAAACACACTGAATATCAATATTTTACTGTATTATGCGTTGCTCTGTCATTCTTCCCTATCAGACGTAATCAGAGCATCATGATCCCCTTTTACTGTGATATCGTTTGTCACTGTTCCTTTCCACCACTTACATTTAGTCCAACTACATAATGAAAGTTTTCTAAACGTAGTCATTGTGCCCATTCCAATACGGTCTTTATCACAATGACTGATTGAAATTATACCTCTATTAATAGTGGTGGTTAAGAAATATTTTTAGTAACTAGATAAATCACTCAAATAAAATCAACATTACCTGTTAAAAATATCGTAGCATAATTCAATACTTCAAATTAATTATATTTTTTTTTTAATTAAAATGATACCTTGTAGATTGAGCTCGAAAATTGGGTGAATAGCATACATAGTGCTTGTGCCGCTGCATTCGCTCGTCACCGAGGCAAGACTGGAACTCTTCATTTACTACAAGAGGAAATATATCGTCTCGAGAAGGCTATCGAATCTGTAAGTAAAGACAATTCATATTTCTTTACCTAATATAAAACTATATATATATTAATATAAATTATTATTTTGTACATTTTTACTTTGTACCTATTTCGTAGCGTAACTTTGAAATTAAAAATGCACTGTACGAGAAATGCGTTGGTATATTACACGTCATAATCATAATAGTGTCCTACTTTTCATATAAAAATTATACAGCAAGGTTATCAGCTTCCATATTAAAGTTGAACGCTAAGTTATTAAATGCACAGCTGAACAAATTAACATATGCTGAAGCACAAAGTGATCTCGCTGAGAAATTATGCACCGTCCAACCCAAACGGCGCATCGTATGACCTAAACAAACAACACATTGTTTGACTATCATAAATCTACTTTCGTTGGACGATTTTCTGCGGTACCTTAAACACACAAACGTAAAACCTAATTTCAAATGGCTCACCTCGCTTCCATTATGTCGGCACTAGATGAATAGCAAATTCCGTGCCGTGCGCTTGGTGATACAAACTCGTACTGACAAAATAATAAAACGGGCTTGTGAAGGATGTGTTGTTTATTAAGCATGTGGTTACCCAGCTAAATATCAACTGTAATAAGTACTTACATGCACTGCGTATAAAATAGAAGTTGAAAGCGCGAAAATTTCAAGTATCTATTGCTTAGATTTAGATTTATTAGAGCATAAATGTAATAAGTAAGTTAAGCTAGATGAAACGAAATTCTTAGATAGGACCGTGTCACTAGCAAGTTTCTCTTCAGTCAAGCTAGGTACGAGAGTTATTATGTATTAGCTGAATACATATGTGAGCTCCGGACAGAGTAGGCGGCGTGCGGTTCGAAACGTTCCTCGTGTAAATCGCGCCAATTTCTGACCCGCACCGGGTGACCGCAGCACGCATCAAAGCCTTTGTGGCCACCTCATACCACTACATACTTACCACACGAGAATATGCTCTGTCCGACGTGTTTTCGATTAACTGTAACGGAAATGAAGCAAATACGATTCGAATGTCTGTTTGCAGCATTGAGCAATGCATTCACTGGATAAGATCAAAAGCAGCAGGAAATTAAATTAAGCTCACTGGTCACAGATTAACTTTAAAAGCGGAATTCAACATCATTCTGAAAAATAATTTACAACCAAATGTAATTTGCTATCTCAATTATAAGCCGCAAAGTTTTATAGCTTTATGAATTTCAAGTGACTTCTAATGTTGCAAAATATTCAAAATAGATACCGTAATTAAGGTCGGGAACACACGCTTGTTGTTGGAAACAATCTATTTTATCACTGTGATAGTTATCACAGGCAGGTGGGAGCACGCGCTTATTAATATTCATAGCACACGTCATCCTCAGGCGCGAGTTCGAGGACCGCGCTCGGACTATTCAAATTATGTTACATGCATACTTAACTTAAACCAAGTTGTCCACAAGTAACACATTTTTTGCATAAGTAACGCTCTTAACAATTACAGGACCATAAGCTAAAGCATATGGCGGACCTGCAACAATCAGTAGTCTCTGATCCCGAGACCCGGGCACAACTAGCTGTTCAAATGCTGCAGTGGGAAGAAAATCTTGAACGTCTACATTGTGAGCAATTCCGATTGCGCTGTTACATGGCAAGCCTTCAGAGTGGTGAACTCCCTAACCCCAAGGTAAATGTTCTACAAAATTGAGTTTACGGGTTTTTCCTACAAAAATGACCTTACCTAATGAAGCAGTATAATCTCCATAACTTTTTATTCGGTGTGGACGACGACAACTTTATTTGTAGCAGTAGTTTGGATTCACTCTTGCGATTCACAACTGTTCTTTATTGAATATAAAAAAACTTTGATAAAACTGACTTTATTTATTACTTCGGACGTTACTCATGTAAAGCTCAGTTCAATAAATCATGTCTATTGAATTTTTTCTGCCAACTCACCGGTCGTTCATAATTATGTTTTCCTAATATTATGACGAAAACAACGCGCTGATCGTAATTTATCACCCGATAATAAGACAAGAGAGGGGTGTTGAAATTGTCAAGTGATTTCATCGAGGTGACAGAGAAAGGAAATTTGTTGGCTTCGCTATCAAATTGACAGTTCCGTTGACCGGGGGAACGGGGTTGGAATCTGTTACGCCGCGACCCATGTCACGGGACGTCATAATGGTCCCCAACATGCGAATAATAAAAGTTGCTTACAATTTTGCACAGAAATGGGTTTGATTAACGGATATATCAATATCCTTTTGAGGATCAAATATTTATGTAAATATGTGATGAGCAAAAGGTATTTCGTAGATAGAATAATGGAACTTGCAAAACCCGCATTATTTTTCTTAATATTGAGGATATATTACTCTGTCAATTTTCGTTTTCTATAAATGTTTATTAATCTGAATTCTTTTAATATAAACTTTGTTTAATTGTAGTTAAATGTTGACTTTTTTACTAATGAAAATGTTTGTCGTAGTCTCTGCTGACCCACGTGTCGCGTGGCACAAAGAGCACTTTGAACAAGTTAGGGGTGTTCACGGTGTCATCTTTTCACGCGTTCATTTGCGCGCGGTCACCATCACTGCTCAATAATTTACTGGCTGGACGTGGGGCAACTAAGCGGCGTGCTCCTCAACTATCTCGATCTAACTCCGGTTCTAGCAGACGATCTATGCAGGTCAGTGATATTTTCTTATACTGTGATTTAGTACTTTATACACGCAAATATCAAATAAAAATTCTGGCGAAAATTAAAACAACATTACAATAATCAACCGTTTCATAGATTGCTACGCCATTACCTACGTAGCCGCGTAGCAGTCTACAGCGGCTACGAAGGCTACGACTACGCCTTTTGTACAATTCGTTCAATGCAAACCACCGTAATCTTGTTAATGCAACTTTGTTTTTATTTTGTATTTCGTTTTGGTTTTATTTACATTTCTTAGATAGGAATGCTATGTAACTAAGAACATCTTGTAATAAATTACTGTATCTTACAAAAAAGTGTTTATCAAGTTGAATTTACGAACCGCACTATAGTTTTTGTATTGATATTGCGTTATGCATTAGCTTTTATGTATTGTGAAGGAAACTCAGCGCAGTTTGAGATAAAGAGACTAAAGAGCTATAAAAGGAGTTGTATTACTGAAAATGGCCGTAAGTAATATACGTGAGCGCTTTTCCCTCAGGTAGCTGAGTCATTCGGAAGTGTACAAACGTGCTTCATATAAGGGCACATGTATAGCAAACGTGCTTTCGTAATCATTTACTCTGTTTAATAGCTATAGGAGAGCACGGAGCGTATAAAACGTACGTGCACGTCGCTTGCACCTTTTAGTGCGGTGTATATCATCATTTCAAAAGAGAAAACATTAACTAAACAAACTCAATTTATCAACTATGTTTGTTGACGATATATGTTTTGCATAGAGTGGATATTTTTGACAAAAAGCTTAAAAGAAAAAGCAAATTCTCGTTAATATTTTCCAGCAACGATTAAAGTAGCTGCCTCTAGCTGTCGCGTCTCAAAAATCCACTCTGTATTTTAAATAGGTCACGTTGATTAGTAATTTGTGCCGACGTTCCAAGAAATAACTTGATTTAAGGGACATCAATTCTCATCTGTTATGCATAAAGGCTTGTAAGCACTATCTGGTAAATAAAAAGTAAAAGTACTCTAGTGACTTAGCGAATATATTTTGATATACTAACAAAACTTCTTATCTACTCCGTTATCTCATAAAGTAAGAACATAAAAGCCACAACAAAGCTTCCGAATTGGAAATGCCGATGTGGCGTGTCCCCTAATCCTTGGCGAGGTCGTAATATAGGACGTCACGAAAAAAGACTATTACTCGAGGCAAACTGCTCGCTTCTTACTGCCTCATTACTTAATGTTGTTGTTTCAGCAATCTGTACCTAACAGTTTAATTATTTGCAAGCTGAATGGAACTTATTTGTGAAAAACATTATTTAACAAATACATATTGGTATGCTATCGTACATTTTCGTAATCCTGAAATAATTTGGTTTCGAATAAATAAAATATTTTCAACTTATTTTAACGTGTAAACCTGGAAGGTACCTTTTGTGAAAGGAACTTTGTTCATTTGTTTATCGCATAAATTATTCAGTTTTGTAAGTTGAGCAAAGTTTATCACAAAATAATATAATTTTGTTATTCTAATTTATATACGTACCTATCAAAACAAAACTTTTATAGGCCCAATCCAACCCTAGCTTGGGGGCTATTTGAATAGAAGTGACGGCAGAGCTCGAGATTTGCTCTGACTCGCTATAATTTAATTTGGAATAAGGATTTGCTTCCAAGTGTTGATTCAGTTTAGTCATGTCGTTTGTTCTGAGTTGTGACATCAAATCTGTTGGGAAACTATTTCAATCTTATACTTGAACAAATTATATAAGGTATGAAAAGAGGTTAGTTTATCATAAATTATATAATCAGTTATTGGTTATTATTATTTATTTTTATTATTATAATAATTTGTAGGGAGTATTATGTCGACCAAATTCTTTAATAGTATAAGTTTATTTATACTCGTGAAGATTTGTCATTGGTTGATAGAATCTCACACAAATTCTTACTTTTTGTTTTGTTAGCTGTTAGTCTTCCAAACATGTTAAATAAATAAAAGGTGGTTTACATTAACAAAAAAAAGTACAATTTAATAACGAGATTAGAAACAAATCAGCGAGATTTAATTAATTTACATTAGAATCAAAAAACAATCCTTAATATAATTTGATGTTAGATGTCTCGTGAGGATGGTGAGGCAGCCGTGCGAGTATCACTCCCTGAAGGTACAACCGCTACAGTGGGAGTGCGCGAGGGCATGTCTGTAGAAGAGTTCCTAGCAGCAGCATGCGCCCGACGCTCACTCAATGCTCTCGAGCACTTTGTTAGAGTGAAGAAAAGGCGCGATATGGAAGATCACAACTATTTCGTTCCTCATCGCAGCGACCTCATTGAAACCTATGTAAGTATAAATCGTTTTAAACAATACTTTCAAAACTGAATTACAAACACTAGAAATAACTGTACATTTATTAGAACAATTCTGCATCCAATCTAAAGAGGCAATCATACAGAAAACAAAACAATTTGCAAAACAAAATCCTCTCTTATTTTAAAATTCGTGGCGAAGCTAAATTGTATTCACAAAAAGCGACAAGATACATTCTGAGATTCGCAACGTAATCTCATTTGAAATCATGATAGTGTTATCCAAACATAATCGCGTGATTACTTTTAATTTACTTGTATACCGCGCATTCATGCATGTGGAAATAAAAGTATAAAATGTTTTGTGACCGAGGTTGACGTGAGTAGGGTCTGACAGGGCCCATTCCGTCACAGGCTTTGCGCGACACAGCGTGGAAAGGTTATCAAAAAGTTATATTACTGTTACTTTAGGATCAACGAATGCGGAATGCATATGACGAAGTTAAATCCCATTTTGTTTGTTGTTCAAATGAATTCCATTTGCGAAAAGATCTCATAATCCTTTGAGTGGAAGGTAGAACTGAGCTCAACAATATTCGTAGAAATGTAAATTGTGTCAGATAAAAGATAGATCCATTTTAACTTTGGTTTATATGTAAAAATCTTTACTTTTTTCTTACTAATAAGATAATAAGTTCTTTTTTGTATTTAAAATATACGAAAAAAATATATGAAAACTAAATGCAAGTTAGGTAAGCATGACAGGGTATTTTGTAAAGATAATGACTTAAAAACTCATAATGAAAGCAGAACCCCACAATTAAATACTTTCATGCGAATAAATTATAATAAGTAGGTACGTGCTCTACAAACAAACAATGCAAAAGTCGCAAAATTTCACAAAAGTTATTAAGAGAAGGAAAATGTAAATTTACACAAATGAATTAATATATTCGTCGTTTCGCGGTACGAAAACAATGTAGGTATTCAAAGTTACATTTAGTGCATACATACTCACATGTAGTACCCATGCCTAATTATCTCGTGAGCCCCACGAGCCTACCTACCATCAATTTTCGGACCGTGCTCCGTGTGGACGGGTTGTCACTTTGTCTTCAAAATAAACACAGCTGTACCTAATATTTATAACTACTACTCAGCCACTATTTGTTTTGTCTGCTAAACTGCCACTAAGCTGAGGGATAGTTTATAAACACCGCGTTTGTCACATTAAGCTCTAAAACTAAGTAAAAACAAACCGTTTGATGCTTTTGAAATACAGGTACCTAGTTTGAATGTACACGACTCGACACTAAAAACTATCGAAATAAAGTAAAAGGCTTATGGAATTTAACTTGATATTTTTGTGTCAATAGTTGCATACACACGAGGTTGTGGAAGTGTGCGCCAAGATCCTGTATCAAGTAGAATTACAACGTACGACGTTGGAGCAAATGTGGGGCTTCAGTGTAGAAGCTGAACTCATTGAGAACGCGGAGCGACAAGACGAGCTCTGCTGCTACGTGAGCCGAGTTGAAGACAAGAGCGTCGCCATGCAAAATGGTAATTTATCATCGTTCAACTTTATATTTCCATCTCCAGCGCTTGCATTTCTTTCAAGTTTTTATATTCCAACACTTTTTACCAAATTGCTATAATATTCCTTACGATGAAAGTTCTACATTTTATTTCCATAATACACAGCAGCTGGGCTGCTGTATGTTTGCTACATTTTGTTCATTCATATTTTATTTATATTTAAAAATACCCACAAATTGCATTTAACATTACATAGTCTACCACTGGTAACAAGGCAAAATTATTAAAAGAAATATGCCTTCGTTATTGACCTGATGAGTAAAAATAAGAACAATCATTCCCAGTACAGTTCTTTTTCATTTTTCTGTCAGGTATAATCAAAGGCGATGAAATAATGGTAATCAACGGAGCGATCGTATCTGACCTAGATATGATGTACCTGGAAAGCGTTTTGCAAGAGGAGCTGTCGCTTGTCATGATGATGAGGTATTTGAACATTTAAAAAATCTTATTTTTTACGTCATTAAGTGCTGAAAATAAATCAAACAACAATAGAAAGAGCTCGTGTTCATTAATCGATGAAACCGGCTACGAACGCTCGTTAAAATAGAATAATTCATAGCAGACAGCAGCGAGAATATTTCTTAATATAAAAAGGTCGAACAGCGTTCCCATTTAGCGAGGTTCGAAGTACCACTGACAAACAGGAAAGCGGGCGCCTAGCACCTAATAAAACGGAAGTTAAAGAGCGCGCAGCCGGGGTAGGGTGGAAGGCCTGTTCATCGGCATTTCCCGCCCTCATACACCTGACCTTTCGCGGCCACGACAAGTTTACTGAAGCGCTCGGTGCGACCTACATAGTCGGCCGCCTGCAGCCCTGCGCCGGCCTCCACCTGGCTCGCAGCCGCTCCCGTCGCCTCGTCACCGCGTCACCGCGCCACCGTGCCGCAGCTATTGTGAACGACCGCAATTGAGCCTCTCGACGCTACCGCACCCGTACCGCGTGAAATAATGCTCCCCAACAAATGTCATCTCGAAACAAGCACTCGGGACACGATATTATTATTGTTGTGAGTTGTTTCATCTTCCCGTTCATATAAAGCCTTTCCGGCTTTAAGGCGCTCGTTTTTATTGTCTTGTTAAACCTGCTAAAGTTTACGTGAATTATGAAATTATTGCGTAACTTACATTCAAAAGACAGGGTCTCTAAATCTAAAATGAGTTCTACTCAATCAAAATCTACCGATAACATCGCGTCAGCCTGCCTTGAATGATTAAAAGTTGAAGGTTGAATTTTACCTCACGGGTTCTTAACAAAAGCTGTTTTCGATCCCGTTTTCATTTGATGGTAGCATTGCTTTCATAATTATTGAGCATTTCATGTTTCCATCAGAAAAGAAGTAAATCGTTTTCGTTTTATTTTGATTATCGCGACGCTGGCGACGAATGATTCGTACTGTTATATTATCTTTTATGTTGGCGTTTCATTCTCGATCTTTTCAAGTTTCCAGACGTTCGTATACAGTCTAGAGTAAACACATCACGTGTTGTTTCTGTAAATCGAATCAATTTTATCGTTCGGAAAAAGATTGCTATTTAGATAGCGGTTTGAGCAGCGATTTATACGCAGGTCATCTCGCACGGAGCCGCCTGAGTTGACGGGAGTGATGCGCGCAGCCACCGACGATATAATCGATTCCCTCGTGTGCCCGCCACCACCCAGCGAGCCGCCAGTCATCTCCGATGACATGATATCCGGCCTCATCGTGCCCGCACCAGCCTGGAGTGAGTACCAAACCATATTGTTTACCCATACTTTTTCCATGTATAGGTGATACCAATCCCCTTCTATCATCCAGTCAATCAGTGGCTTTTCACTTTAACCCGGTACCTTTTATGTCGAACAGCCATTCAAAAATTGGGCAATAGATGATGATTCAGTAAAACATTCAGATACATTGTGTACAATTTTCATTAGGGTTTTCAGGCAACCCGCTAAGGTGACAAGGCAGATTATTTACGAAACATTTTGAATTTTCCCTGTTTCATTTAAGGTTCTTATTTGATAAATAGTTGCAATCTCACATTTATGATAGTTTTAGTAGGTTATCTATGTATGTATTTTCCAGGCCAAAACATATTCGCAACCATGAACAGTTAGAACTTATAAATATCAGAATATAAAGATTAAATCAGCATAAAAAGCATGTTTGTACATATTAAATTATAACGTCATTGATATATCTTACTATTTTGTTTGTTGTGTAATAGCGCTTAACAAGCAACTCTTCAATATTTCCTTTTACGTAATACTTGGCATCGTTTCGGCACCACACTGAATCCTCATTTTCGAATTGTGGCCGTCAGCCAGTAATGCTCTGTGCATAACAACGTACTATCGTACTATGCGGATTATTTATCGATCATCGTTACAACTCGTGCGATTCTGCTTATTGCCGTTCTTTATGTCTATGCGAGTTATGCGAAAGCATTGTTTACCGTATACACAATCATCAAGAGCTCCGAGAGCCACAATCAGAATGCGATACGATAGCTCCGTAGTCGAAGCAAATAAGGCTCAACAGGGCTCAGTAAATGGAAGATATGCCAGTACCTAGCACACTTATTGAACGTTTCATTCGCCCGTAGTGATTGTGTTTCCAACAATACTATGTTTCTATAAATGCAACGTCTTTAAATACTGGCTGTGAGGCAATTAAATAATGTCTAAATATACATCTACTTACATAATCTACAAGCTCTTACTTTAAATCTTTTTAACAGAAAACGGCAAATTTAATCCACCAAAAGGCAGCTATTTGTTTGGGGAATATTTTTAAATTTAATTCATTCAAGGAGACCCTGCCAGCCTGGTTTTCCTTATGAAAGAAGTAAATTGAGAATTATTATTTCCTTACGAATTTTTTCCACCCCTTTTTCATCCCTGTTTCTGACTCGAGGCGTTTATACCGTGCTTGGTCATTATTTAAAGTTACCGATCCGAAATTGCTGCCCCTCTTAGGTTTGCAGTAATTTATTTCACGGCTCGAGCTCTAGCTATATAAGAGGCAATTATAACGACATATTGACTCGACGTGTACTTGTTGTTTGTTTTATGACAGCTATATACGTACGAGTAAGTACCGAAGTGCGGCTTGACGCGGCCTGACTTCGAATCGCGGTTGGTCGTAACAATGGAAGGCTTTCACTATCGCAAACACATTATTTATCACGACATTCTCCACTAATGAAACTACTTTTCTGAGTTAATGGACATGTGGAAAGAAAAATAGTTCTTATTTTTTTCAATAAAGCGGAAAGTTGACAAAGACGTGTTTTCACATTTCGTATAAGTAAACGTGGAAGTCAATTGAAAGATTGAAAGGCCTATGTTTAGCAGTAGATGTTTTGTATGAAAACTTAGCTTATTCGTAATGCACGTTCGTTAAGCTCATAAAACAAAAGGTTCTGTATAATTCATTTTTACAAATGCAGTTCTTCATTAACTCCACCACGCAATGAGAGATAAAAATAGAGACTCAGGTTGTTGTGCTAATTCTGCAACAAAAATACTGGTATTCTAAATAAAGGCCACGACCTCGCCTACGGCTATTTGCCTGTGCCCGATGTTGACTTACCGCGGCCAAAAACTCATTGTGTGACTTCTTGTCATAAAGCGGCCTTTACATGAAAGTTTCATCACGAACAGTGTAATTTCCTCTCATGTTATTGAAATCTGAGCATCTCTTTTCAAACCAGTTTTATTGAACATTTTGATTTCACATTTCTTAATCTTTTCGTATTAAAAGAGGATTTGTGGAGAGATCGTTAGTATTATATTGACTGGAATATATAATATTGTGTGAGTATGTAGATGTAACGTCAAAGAACATATTTTTACAGCTTATATCTATATAATCTATATATCGAACTGGTTCAAATATCAAAGAGATAAAGGATATGATTTAATATAGCAACGTTTATAAAGAAAAGGTAAAATAAGGGCACGGATATACAATATGAGCTATTCAATTTTGATTCCTAAGGAAACTCTTACGTTAACATTAAAATTTTGGTTTAGAATACAATAAAACTCCGTCGGAGACGACTCGACAATAAATTCTTCCGTATTTATCATGCCGAGGTAATGCTACCTCTTGTATACCTTATGTTTTCCATCTACTTGAATGATGGATATTCATAAAACTTTTGCAATTTCTTCGTTTGTTATAAATACGTCTGCCAGTTGTGATTTACATACCTGTAACAATAATGAGTTTCGAAAATAAATCATTATGTCTTTTTGTGTAATTATATTTTCTAGATAGGTAAATTGGCCACGGCATGGAAAAATATACTTGTATCTCATTATTCAAACACTAAATATTTTGAGTGACTAATAATAATTTTTCACACTTTCAATACCTAGTTTTTATATGATTTGCATGTTAATGCTACGTTGAATGCTATGCAGGTAAGGAGTTGTACAGCCCGGACACGGACGCACACGGTGGCGACGCCGTCAACACTGGCCCGCCCAAAGTCAGCTCCCGAACAAACTCGTTCGAAATCGAAAATCTACTCAAGGTACGTTACAAAATAACAAAAAAATTACATTACGACGCTCGTCACATGCACGCCTCTGCGACTTAATCCCCGATTCAATTATCTAGCTCTTGGAGAATATTCCCGTTTTATTTCGTTAGCGTACCCGCATGGTAATGTCTCTCTCGAAAATAATAATCGTCTCTAGAGATTCCGCCAGCGTCCCCTATTATATCCCTTCCTAACTTTACGAATTATAGGTATCTATTGATTTTATCAAAGCTGGAAGTGACTCTTTACAATAATAACGGCGTAATCTTTCATGCTTATTTCTATACATTATTTCATTTGATTTAGACATTTCATCTTTTTATTTAATTGACTATACGGTTACCACCGTGGGCTGATGTGTAACTTGTAACGGATTCGAATTCCGTACGGAACAATTCTTTTCCACAAATTGTTTTCCGCGTCTAAGTGTAATATTAATATGCATGTTAAATCGAAATCGAAATCTTAATATTATATTTCACAAACGGTTCGTATAGAGCGCGGAGCAGGTGACAGGCTGGTGTCGATCCCCGGCGGAGACTCGACGTGGCAGTCCGACCGGTAGTGTTGCCAGCGCTGCAGCCGGCACGCCCTCGCGACATCTCTCCGATGCCGATAAACTCAGGAAGGTCCTACTGGAGCTGGTCGATACTGAACGCGCCTATGTCAAGGTAAGGTTACCCACACCCACGTGAAACACCTAACTGGACAAAATACGAAATACTGTTTAATCTAACTTGGGTGTTATTATGACATGAACTTAGGTTCCAATAAAATGCCAATATTTAATAATTATGGCAAAAAATCTGATTAAATAAAATATCAAAATCTTTGTAGCAATAATCTTGACAGGTATAATAATTATACATCCAAACATAACCTCAAGTGTTCGTCCCAGAAACCACAGAGTGCACCTAGTGTGATAACACAATAATATTATACTTAGTATATTATGTTACTGTTACATTAAGTAATTGGTTAACACTGCAACGCCCTAGATGTATCGTCAGGATCCAATTCTAGTTAGGTAACTGCGTCAACTCATCAAGTAGTTATCTATACAACATCAGAACAACTTCGAGACATATTCGCGTCTAGTTACCGGTAGTTTATTGCGGACTAAAATAACTTGGGCTGCGGGTAGGCTGCTCCTTAATTTAATAAAAGCTCGTTACGATTCCTCGAGTCAACTGCGAAGCAATTCAATCTACAGATTCAAACAGAGTGAAAGATAAAGTAATAGTAAAAAGTCATCTTCCGTATAAATATTCATTCCGAACGAAAAGTTTTGATGGATTTATAAAACGTATTTAAAACTTGGTTAACCTGGTCGCACCTGCTCAGCGATATAACTACCTGTTCACGATTAAAAAGTTACTTTGAAATAAATCCTAAATGGGGTTAATCTTAAATTTAGAACTACGTTGCGGTCTTCATAAAAACTTTTTAACTACAAAAGAGGCTTATAAAAATAATGGATGAGGCAAGTGAAAAAGTAAAGCTATAAACGTATAATTCATTTTTAATCTATGAGTACTGTAAATAATTATGATACTCACTTAAAGTTACTGGACACTAGAACACAATATTCTGTATGGCTTAATCTGATACCAATACTGAGGCATCTTAATACAAATTGTTCTACGCTTCAAAGCTCTTCAATATCAAAGCACTAATTACTGCAGAGAACCCCATATATGTATTACATCTCAGACTAGTTACATAATTCTACTGATAGTAACTTAATGCATATCTTAGGTTCAGTATTATAATGTTGTCGCAAGGCTGAATAGCATTACAAAGAAAAAGTTTTAATATTAATTCAGTCACAAGAAGAATATTACATCTAAGATTGTTACTTCTAGCACCTGAACAACTTACTGGAAAACTACCTGGAACCTCTCAAGAAAGAAACTTTTTTATCAAACGCCGAGATCAACGCTTTGTTCGGCAATATACAGGAGATAGTGACTTTCCAAAGACAATTCCTGCAAAACTTAGAGGAAGCGCTTGAGGCTGAACCTAACTTCCATCACTTTGAATTCTCAAACCAGTTTAAGGTACAAAATAACCATTTCTTTGATAATTTTACTAACCTCTTATACACCATTTCATTTACTCTAACGACATTTTTCTCTACAGAATGCTCTCTTCGCGGTCGGGAATGCTTTCCTCTATTACGTCAACCATTTCAAATTGTACAGTTCATTCTGTGCCAGTCACAGTAAGGCTCAAAAAGTGCTACATCCAAGTAAGTGAACGTGTCTTACGAATATAAACGTAATTTTAAATGTTATTTGTGTAAGTACGTGATTAATAATTCGTGTCTTCTTGTAGATGAAGGTAATCAAGCTTTACAAGAGTTTCTTGCGGCTCGAAATCCAAAACAGCAACATTCATCAACGTTGGAGTCGTACTTAATAAAACCTATTCAACGGATATTAAAATATCCACTTTTACTTCAACAACTCAGAAATTTGACTGATGTTAATTCGGAGGAGCATCTCCATTTAGTGGGTGAGCAACTTGACATTTAGAATTTATTACAAATTGTAATTGTATTCTTAAGGTACAGATTAGGTACGCTTCTTTCGTCTTCAAAATTATTGATCGTATACTGTTCTCAAATCGCAATAATGAAAGATATTCTATCGTTATGATCGCTACGTCTAATTAACGTTGTTACTTGAAACTATTAAACGTTTATGATTGATTGACATTATGAACAAATGACATGCAATACTATTAAAATTTATACAATTTCAGAGGCTCTGAAAGGTATGGAAAAAGTTGCAGAGCACATCAATGAAATGCAACGAATACATGAAGAATATGGTGCTATATTTGATCACTTGTTTAGACAACATCAAAAGTCTTGCAAGCAACCTATAGATCTAAGTCCTGGTATGCATATATCATTTAGAAATAATTAGTCTGAATATACAAAAACTATGTATAGTTCTAACCACAATCTGTTTTTCAGGCGATTTGTTATACTACGGTGGAGTAGAATGGTTAAATATTTCAGACTTTTTAGGAAAAATAAAAAAGGGATTGGAATTGCATGCAATGTGCTTTGTATTTAAATCAGCTGTTGTCTTCCTCTGTAAAGAAAGACTGAGGCAGAAGAAAAAGCTTATGGTACGTACACTTTTCACATGCATATTTCAGTTCTTAACAAAAAAGAAAATTGTGTATTTCAGTGTTTATTTACATAGCTATCAAAAAATCTATAGCAAACTCTTTCAATTTTAGGGTGTCTCATCTAAAAATAGTTCGAACGAAGTAGAAATCATAAGGTACCAGGTACTGATACCGGTGACGGAGGTTCAGGTCCGGGCTTCCTCTGCCAAGGATATGGACAGTCATTTCCTTTGGGAACTCATTCATTTACGAAGCCAACTGCAGCGTCGCTCCGAGAAAGTTTATGTTCTGTCTAACAGGTGCGAGTTTGAAACTATGATTGATTCCATTTCCATCCCCGTCCAAGTTTAGTTTTGAAACTATTTAAATGTTAATGATGGATAGACGAGTCGTGTTGCTTAATCAATTTGCTTCGAAACTTATTTAGCGACGGGTTTAATAGACGTCATTAATTGTACTATTAAGATGTCGCACAGACATTTATTAATGTACAAATTTACTTAATGTAACATAAGTTTCTGCGAAAGTTATTCGTCTTTCGATTGCTTAATGCTTAATCCAGAACTTATGGAAAACAATAACCCTGTTTTCCTCCTGAAACGTGAACGAAATTGACTGTATCTACTATAATGACATCAGATACTTTTTGTGAAAACCTTACAAATTTGTTATTACAATTTGATTGACTTTGACATTTAAATTTAACTAATTTATGACTAATTGATTTACATACTATTATTTTCTGTATTTTTTTGTCAATTATTGATGTATAATTTCTATGACTAATTATTTGATTGCTCTATGAATGTGAAAAGATATTTTTGACTCGTACCTACATATATTGACTGATTGTGAATTTCATTAATACGTACAATGGTTGAGATATACCCAATATTTGCATGCCCAACGGGTAGAACAAAGAGATACAATATGTAACAAAAATAAATAACACCTTAGGCACTAATTATGTACTACACCTCTGTTCAGCAAATAAAGACATTTGATTTGATTTGATTTGATTTGTTCGGTTGGTGCGGTGGCTGGGCAACCGGCTGCCGTGCAACGTGTTGCGGGTTCGATTCCCGCACGGAACAACACTTTGTGTGCTCCACAAATTGTTGTTTCTGGGTGACATGTGGATGTGAACTTGTATGTTTGTAAACGCACCCACGACACAGGAGATGAAGCTAGACTGGGGCAACGTTTTACTTAAAAAAAAATAGCAAGAATATTCACTGGTACATATGAAAACCAAACATAAAAGAATAACATATTTTCCGATATTATTTTTAAATATATTTTTAAATACGTAGCACGGCTGACTTCCGCAACGCGTTCCTGAAGACAATCAGGCAGATCATCCGTGAATCAGTTCGCAACATGTCGCTGCCGACCTCTCGGCCTGCCCCGGCACCACCGCGAGCCCCGCACACTCTCGACCGAGAGAGACCTAAACACCAGGTAATGAGACCTATAATCCAACAAAACCTATGGCAATATGGTTCTTATGCAAAACATGGCATAAGAACTAACGTCGTCGTAAGCAACTTAATAATATCGTCTTCTGATATCGCGGTGGTGTAACAAATGTATTTTATTGCAGGTGCAAGTGATGCAAGGTTCTCAAACCCTCGGTAAAACTAAGAAGCCTAAAACATCAGGACAACGATTATCGGCCGGAAACATTGAGGTACGTATAATAGTCATAGTTTTATAGTTTTAAAATGTACCTGTTGACGATATGTACATATATACTTAATTACATTTTGATAAAGTTCCTTTGTTGCCCTTAAATAAACATCAATTTTAATTGATATTTATTAAAAGGTGGGTGACTTATCACGTGAGAACTCTCAGGATGCAGAGGAACCTCCACCAGAGCCTCCACCCGAAGAGCCTGCCTTCAGGCATCGCAGCAAGACACTTGGCGATACCACTGGTTAGTGTAACACATCTATCTTTACTAAAAGCTATTCTATATTAGCTTTTCTAACAATTCTGCAAGTAGAGGAATTACATTAATTATAAATAATTAGGCTGTTCATGAAGCAAAGAGGTATGTAAGAATCGTAGCAATTTGCGTTCCATAGTCAGCCCTGTCAACCCGCATGGGAGAGATAGGCGTGAGATTATGTATGTATGTATGTAGGAATTACAACAGAGATTGAATTACTGGGTAATACTAACACTTAAACTAAAAGCAACAGGTTTTCAATAATAAACAAAATAATAATAATATAGTAGCTACTGGCATCTAATAGCATGAGTGCAACTGTAACCGGCTTGTCGCAACTAACAGAGACGGTAGTGAAGCGCGCGCCGCCGCCGCCGCCGCCCGACGTGGACAAGTGCGACCCCGGCTGCAAGTCCGAGGGCGAGGACGAGCAGCCGCCGCCGCCCGCCAAGCGCGGCCTCGGCAGGACGCCCAACCATCTCACACTCAGGTACTAATACTTCACGCATATTATGTAGAACTCTACACAAACATTCTATCAATAGGGTAGTTGCCAGGTATCAAAATTAAAAATCTAACTAGTCCGTCAGTCAGAAAATGAAAAAATATTAAGCACATTTTTTTTTAATTTGAGAATTAAAAAATAATGTGCTTAATATTTTTATTGATTACTTGATAAAATTACGTTAATTTAAGGAGTGGTCGTTACGTCGTAATCTCACAGCATATTTTAAATTAATATATTGTCGAAAGTATTTAATTTTGTGAGAAAAAACGTATTTAATGTTTTAACATAATCTACCAGACGGATCTTATAATAAAATACTACACGTAATGTTGTTGCATTACAGCACGACGTCGACGCTGAGTGCAGGCAGTACAGGCAGCCAGGCTCGCCTCATCCAGTCCTCACACCAGCCCGCACAGTACCAACCCATGACCATGGCAAAGGATCTAGGTAAGCAAGAATCGCAGTCTCTCAAATCATCACCGGAACGAAAGACGTCTACAACAGCACCAGAGAAGAGGATTAAGGTCATACGTTCCTGTAGCGGCAGTAGCATCAATAGGGATAGGTCTCCCAATAGATCGGTCGACCACACGTCACCAGATCGAGATCGCGTTACTAAAGTCATCGTTTGCAAATCTCCTAATAAATCCAGTTTAAAGCAGACGAAAACATTGCATCGATCTCCTCGGGGAAGCTTCGATCAAACAAAGTCTCCTCGAGGATCCATTGACAAATCGCGATCTCCTCAGCAAAGCTTCGACGGATCTCGGTCACCTCGTGGAAGTATCATGAAATCACGTGAAAATAGCGTCGACCGGTCGCGATCGCCAAAACCTGCACCAAAAAAAGGAATCATGCGAACCCCACAAGCTAGTTTTGATAAATCTCCCTGTAAGTCACCAAATTTAAGCCGACGATCTTCTAAATCCGGTGGAGAGAAATTAGCACGTCTTGGAACTAATTCTTTAGATAGAATGACTCATTATTCTCAATTAGCTAAAGCAGAAGATAAGGCAATAAAAATGGGTATCGTAGTTTCAAAATCAACTGAATCTATTGCGAAGGCTATCGAGCATCCAACTTGTGTTCAGTGCTACCTTTCTGGAAAAAAGCAGAGTAAAACCTCCTAGCATAAGGGGAAGGGCAAGTCGCCCAAATCTCGACGTAAGTCAATGACTGCTCAGTCGATCTTAACATCATCAGATCGAAGCAGTGTCGAGACCTTGGACGACATGCCCCAAGAGCGTGTACGATGCACGTCAGCACGCCACCACGAACGGAGTGAATTTGATCAAATACATGTTTAAATAAATTCAATAAGATTAAATAATTCTCGGATTGTGGCAACCTCGGATGATACATTTTTATCTGAAAGTAATCAATTTAATATACCAAATCTTACCTAACGTACTAAACCTAACATCATCATGGAACCATGTCAAATATAAGTTGCTTCAAAGTATGTCAGTCGAAGGTACTATTAATTCAAAATAAATTGCCCTTTAAAAACAGCTTTTAAAAGTTGTATTATAATTGAATACTATCAGAATATTATAAAGACAAAAAATAACTACTAAAATTACAAGACTGTTTCACCAATTTGTGATCTGACTACCAAGACGTGAAATCATTTGAAATTAAATAAGGCATGAACCATATTCTCAAATCTACGACAAAATTACCCAGACGTTCAAATAAAATGTATACGTGAACATTTTCAAATCGTATAATTCAATTCAATGTCGCAGTTATAGTGAACTGTACTAGCCTAGAGTAATTTCACGACTCTCAGTGTAGAATTAAATGTACCCCCGTAAAATATTAGTAGACACAATAAATATTACAACCGTATATTATAGCATGTTAAAGTTAATCAACTCCTATTCTAGATAAATCCAAGTGCTAAGTGTTACATAATAATGGCTGTGGTATCGTACTGATGTTAATCCTTTTATCACCTTCGTCATAGTATTCTTCTTGTTACTTTGTACTGTTATTATACATCCCGATAGGTTTAATGTATTATTCTGTAGATGGCCATGGATTTGTATCGTTAATTAAGTCTTCCAATTCTAAGTATGTATAAGTAATGATATTAATTTACTTTACCTCTCGCATTTCTTCAGTACCTGCTCAAATTAGTATTAACGTTATCAATTTATTAAGTATATTCCATAAATATTTTACACTCCAAACAATATTATATTATTAGGTATATACATGCCATTGTGCACTATACGTAATATTTAATTATGTATATTTATAATTTAAGGCATTTTCATTTTGGTTAAACATACATTTATGAATGTACATTTATTATTATTATAGATAGGTTATTTCCAAATATTTGCACTAATAGGTATATTATAATTAAATACTCAAATTATTGTGGCCAACATTCGAAGCTTCGTAGCATTATAGGCTGGTTGTGCAATGTATTATCGAAGTAAATATTTATCACCAATCATAATTGTTCATACGTAGATACATACTGAATATATTTAAACCTAATTATACTGAAGTACTTTTGTGGATACATCACTCATCGAGGTAAATGTAACCAAAGAGTGTTTCAGATATCTAACGGTTTAGTAAATCGCTGTACGCCGTTACACAAGATAATTATCATCCTCAAATGACATCCTACTATAATATGCATTAATAAAAAATATTGACTTACATATATGGTTAAAATTATAAAGCTAAACAATTTACTATTAAAATAATAGGCTAGCTGTGTATCCAAAATTATAATATAACCAAATCGACGTAGACAAATACACTCTCTCTATGTTCACGTAGTGCTTTACCTCCTCCGTAGCTGTGCACAGACTCTGTCAAAATAGATGTTGCACCCACGAGCAAAAGTGAATGTCCTTAAATAAGTAATCAATAGTGAGTAAAGTAAATATATTCAATGCAAATTAATGGATCGGTGCACCGTAGATTCTATCGTCACTGTGTGTATCTAGGCTACCGCTTAAGTAAAGTAAGTAGATGTTCTAACTAAAGTAGTGGCCGCCGCCAAAGCCCAGCATCGCCCCTACCGCTTGAATGTTCGATGACGACGCGCTCGCGGCGGCGCGCCCCCGCCCCCCACAACACTCATCAAACATTCAACTCTTTGCTCGCGTGCGCGATTCCCGGCGATCGGTCCCATCCGTCCAAATTCCGTCAGCGCAATGCGCGCCCACAGCCGTGAGATTATGTAAGCCTAGATCACACGGCACCTGTTCCATTGATATTGCAAATTGGATGCCAAAGTACAGTAAGACAAGAAGTAACGGTTCTTACGGATTTTGATTACTTTCAACTGACAATAAATAACTACAGTTCTACGTTACAATGTAACATGGTGACTAACGTAATGGATCGTCGCCTTTCCACATGCCCAGTTCTTTTGAGGTATAAACAATAGAGGTCGTTACTGTACTGTGGTATCCACTCATGCATCTTTGGAACAAATGAAGTGTGAAGTGGGCTTTATAAAGAGTTCGGTGTTTGGTGTGTTGTAGGATCGCCCGTGTGGAAACCGCGCGACATGTCGAGCTCGGCGGGCGGGGGCGGGGGCGGGGGCGCGGGCGCAGGCGGCGCGGCGCCCACCACGCTGCCGCGGTCGACGCGCGCGGCGCCGCGCCCGCACCACCTGTCCGCCAGCCGCAAGTCGCTGGCGCCCGACCACCGCCACTAGACGCCGCGCTCGGAGCCGCTGCGCCTCTCCTCCCCGCGACCCCCAGCTCTCGCAGCTGGTCGCCCGACTTATGTTGTCCGCCGCCTACCGAACCCTTAAACCAAATCACTTCACCATGCGATGTTTGTGTATCTCTTGTCGTACCCCTCAAGTTTCCTTCACTTATGTATTATTTTGCTCTATCTCTTAACTTCGTTCTAAAGCTCAAAGTTCACCCAAATGAGTTAAAATCAGTCTCCGTTATTTTGTTTTCGTATAATTTTTTTTTAATTCATAAATAATTTAAGCTCAAAATATATTTGTGTTAGGTGCAAAATCCTGTGCCCGTAACGAATAAGACTGCGTGCGGCTCTTTTGTGAAGTATGGTGTACCTACTTAATTATATCGAGACATGATTTGACAATACCCTCATTAATACAACAAATTATTTGGTGAGATCCTTCTTTTGTAAAATAATAACCTTCTTCTAAAGGAAAACTAGACATATTGTCTGAATATATAAGATGACTTGGAGTTCTAACAGGCATTATAACATGTCCTTGAAGATTTCCTTGTAAGTACATAATAGAAAGTAAATATATGGCAGAACATAACATTTTATGGGGTTTGAAATATAAATGGAAGTGGTAATACGAAACGCGCAACAATACAGTGTCGCATCATGTTCTTGACTACAATATGAACATTTGTTGTTTAAATAAACCTCATATTAATAGAAATAAGTTTTATTTAAAATCGACCTACAAGACACGTTTATTTAGGTAGATCTATTTATAACTACAAATAAATGACAATATCAATAGAAAATCAAGACATTTTTGAGTCCCATTTAATTAGTTTCAGTGATAAATGTTAATGATATGTTACTTTTCCATCGAAAGAAACGGATTGTAACATTCGCATAGAACATTCTACTTGTAATAGCGCCTACACCATAAAACTGTAATTTATATACACTAAAGTAAACGTAGTCGGAAGCATGCCACCACTCTACAGAGACACCCTCGTAAAGACTTTCTACTTTAGCTTTATTTAAGGCATTCCTTTGATACTTGGTTAAGCATGCGAATATCCTATAGATTCGTTTTGTACGGACTGCTCTGTGCCAAATTAGGTACTCTCGACACCTCCTTGTGCTTGATACTTGTCGTGAAGATATTCCTGAATAAATAAATATATTGTCAGAGTAGTTAGCTGTAATGTATTTGCGTTTCATTTCGTCACATTGGCAACTCACTACCCTATAGTTCAAAATGCACTAACCAAATGGAAAATATACACTAGGTAGTTTTGATAATAATTTCTCTTCGTGATCAAATTCGAAAGTTCTATCATAGGCTAGGTGAATGATATAACATGTATCCACAAATTGGGTTTTACTATTATTGAATGTATTATACTTATATATGTATGATTGTTAATTTGCTGTAATATAATGTAAATGTGTTGAATGCAGTCGCGGAAAACTGTAAACTGGATCGACGAAATACTTTGAACCCCTGAATCTTGTGCTGCTACGAGTAAGGTAGCTCTTAGTAATATATTATTATCAGAATATTTGCTGTAAATGTGTGAACACCTACTGTGCTGCTAGTAAGGGATATAAATATATGATATGTTGTGACTTGTAATAATATATTATGTAGATCGGTGGTGTCAAGTATCTCGTCGCACTTTGGTAGGTCTTCATGTCGGGACATATCAACGGCGGTGGAGCTATCTCGTTCAGCTTATACGTTTTCTTGTGATTTAGTAAATGTTTATTATTTTTAAGTATTTTGCAGTTACCAGGACTATATATGTACACAGTATGCACTATGATACTTAGATAATACCTGTGTAATATGTATGTATATTATTGTGACCACATTATATTTTCAAGTTTGAATATTGTTTAAGTGTTTGTTTTGTGAGTTATTGAAATAAAACAGTTTATTAATATACATATGTTAAAATATTCGAATTTAATAATTACGAACTTATACAATCAATTTATAGATTATTATTATACTAAGAAAATTATAATTAATAAAATGAATAAACAAACACGTGTGAAATTTAAATGAAGGATGAGCTCATTAATTGCGATTGTATTTCATACTTCAATGACATTTGGAAGTAAAGTAGAAAAATGAATGAATATTTAGAAAGACTTATTGAAGTAAAATACGAAAGTAACTAATGTTATAATAAGTATTGAACTTGTATAATTTGTTGTTTGTATTATTTGCCGATTCCGTTGTTTTCTCGTTACTTACTGACAGTGTATTATCGGGAAAACCTCACCTGTACACAACGTTACATATTTATTGAAGTTGATGAACTACTTAACAGATTTAATATGGATCTTCTTGTGTCTGTCGATCGCTTTCGTGCACTCTTATGTATGGTTTCCTCTAATTCAGTTATTCAAGTATTTTCCTAATGAATCTTAATTATCGTCTTAATGAACTATACATTTATTTGTAGTTTCCACACAATTAAGTATATCCCTTGGACTGAACCTTAACCACGTTTAATTTATAATGGTTTCGTCGTCTAAATTTAAAGTGCCTTCACATGTTTTAAATACATTGTGCACGTGGGTCTTAGTTTCACAGACAAGATATCCAAAACTCTCTCAAGTAGTTTGTCAATGCCTGCTAAATAAGAGATGGTATTAATTCTAGTATCCTTTAGTGGCTTCCAAAACAACTAGTCTAATTTACAATTTTAATGATGTATTTATTGTTTTCATAAGTATTTGATATGTTAAATTTTGTGACACGTATGGAAATTACTTTTTATTGCTTATGAATAAAACTAAAATATGATATAATCCTTTTACTTATTTCAATTCCCTGTAGGTAATCCCATCAACATCCTATCCAATGAATTGTATGAATGTTGACGGCACGATTGGCGCGGTGGCTGCGCAACTGGCTGCCGCGCAACGTGCGGCGGGTTCGATTCCTGCACGGAACAACTCTTTGTGTGATCCACAGATTGTTGTTCCTGGTCTGGGTGTCAAGTGTTTGTGAACTTGTATGTTTGTAAACGCACCCACAACACAGGAGGAAATCCTAGTGTGGGACAACGTTTTTTTAAAAGAAAAAAAAAGAATGTAGAAAGGTAGCTGCTGAAATTTTAGGTCACTTACATATTAATTTATATTTTCTTTCATACAGCGGAAGGTTTAAGGGACAGTGTACATTTTCCATCTTAATAAATAAAAGCCATGAATGTAATCGGTACAATGTGTTTATTAAATCGTACATCGACGTCCATAAATCAAACATTTCAGTGTTTCGGGATTCAAAACCTTACAATTTGCTAATAAAACAGATTTTCTAAATTGATATGAGTGAAACATTCAAAATATAATTAAGTATGTATTTACAAGGTTAATAATAATTATAACTAGATAGGTACACAATATTTTTCATTAAATATTTTTGTTCATTAATTTTGAACCGCCTCAACAAATTTACATAAAACTTACGCGTCTAAATTTTGTTGGCCTAACTTTTTTAACGAATTTTGACAAAAACTTAAAAAGAACAATTCACTCATACCTGACCTCAACAATAGGTAAAAACTATGGAGGCCTCATAACTACAATATTTTAAAACGATTTAAGTTCATTATACAGTCACGTTTATAATTTATTTATTTATTAAAGATTCCAGCTATGTTATTATGAAAGTAAAGAAAATTTCGAAATACGAATCTACGTGAAAAATGCTCTAGAATCTATTTGTGGCAAGTAGGTAAGATTAAAAATGATTACTTTTAGTCTGAATCCTATGTTATTTTAATGAGCTATAAAATGATGAATATGTTTTTGTTTAGTTACGGACAAAGATGGTTATGTGTGTACAGTGGAAAACTGTTTAAAGTAAACACATTACAAATTAGGTAATGACAAATGAGATGAAGAAGCGGTACATTAAGAGACAATACTTTAATGATCAGGGAACAAAGGGAAACATTAATATGGTAGACAAAATTATGATATACTCACTCGGGAAGCTCTATTTGTGAACACCTATATAATGTATAACCTCATTACCGTCTTTACATCTCTCTACATTAGAAATTATATTCCTTCCTAACATTACTTAAACAAATAACAATAGGACTATCTAAGAAGATGTATATATCGTAAATACATAATTTATGTGGCACTTGCTACATTTGTATCCTTTTAACTTTGTTCACCACCATCGGTTGGAGTTACAAGGAGCAAGGACAAGGGTGGGATAAACATAACTTTGACTTTTAGGTTTCAATATACACTTTCATTTCATTTTCGAAAATAAATATTGTATTTTTTTAGCAATTTTGCAACAAATCTTTACTTGCATTGGGTTTTAGGAAAATGAAACGAAAATATGAACCCAAAGTCAAAATTCGTAATGGACTCCTTGTTCAAGAGAAAATTGTTCAGCGTTTCCTTAAATTTGCTATATTCCTCTTTAAATGTAAGCCTTGCAGTAATACATTATGTATGAAAGTAAACGCACTTTCTAAATAACTCGAAATCGGAAGAAATGGTGTACACGCTAGTTAGATAAAGTCGTACCTAAATTGATCACACTATAACTAAATAAATACAATCGGAATAAGTTTATTTTTAATCTTAATAATAAACACTAGGTACTAAAATCATACTTCGTTCCTTTCTACTAAGAAAATAACAAAACATTATTAAATCAATAAACTTTGCAATAAAATAATTTAGTGCACACCACGATTATTTTAAATATATATATATATTTATATATATAAAGATAATCATTAAATAACTCTTATTAAGTTCATTACAATATCTAATAATTAATGAAATACTCGATTTAAAAGAAGTTTCATTACGCTATTATATTTTATTATGGTGTTTCATCAAATTATGCTAGAATAAAATTCATCCATCCTAATTTCATATCATATTAAATACGTAAGGCACTCCATTAATTTTGCTGTTTTTTTTTTTAAATCGAAAAGGACCGAAAATACTGTCACACAAGTTTTCTCTATAAAAATGAAGACCACTGGAAGTTACTGTTATCCATGCACCGCACATTATAAGATAAATTTATTTAAGTATTAAGCTCGAAACAAAGTAACTAACATCAACTTTAGCTTCCGCTGACAATCAAACAGATGTAACAACAAATTCGACAGGTGCTATACAAACGTTGTCCCGTGTCCTCTTTACACAAAAACATTTGCTTTCGTTGTGGAATCAAAAGGGGTATGAAATAATTCGGAATTTTTTGGGTTTCTCTGTTCTTACATAAATACAGCTTCCTCCTAAACGACCGCGAAACCCCGTAATCGATAAAAAAATCGTCTGTACGTGGACAGTTTAACATCTAATGAATGACAATATTAACATAAATACCAAATTTTAATTAATTTGTAGGACATAATTTACATAGCAACCTATATTAAAACATATACATACACAAACAACTCTATCACAGACACTAATCATTTACAAAACTCATATTAATAAATACTCAGTTTCTAAACGAGAAACGACATTAGTTCTTTGTCACCAAGCAACCGTTTAAGTTGATATACCTAACGAAACATAACAACAGACACTTTGTTGTAACATTAATTCAGCTAGGTACTAGGTAATCGATGGCCACTGATTACCAGTATATACCTACGCGATATATTGCTGTCGTATTTGCGATTCTAAATGGGAAATTAAAATCACGACAAACACTTTACATCAACGTTGTTGGACCCCTAAATATTCAATTAAAAAGCCATTTTATTCATAAGTAATCTCTTTAAAATTTTTATCAAATTTAACTACCTATTTATACCTACACACATGACTTGTTTCATTACTTTCTGAAAAATTTTGAATGTTTATAATAAGACCGCGCGGCGTCTCATAGCCCCTCAAATATTTTCAATAACGATCATCATTTATTTGTTATAATTATTATTATTATAATTAGGTTTATAACTAACAGAAATAGGAATCAAATTATATGAATCGTGTTATTATGAGTTTAGATTTAGAAGTTTTATATTATGTAGGTATGTAATTTCAAAATTATATAGGATAGCACAAGAAAGCATATTTATTAAAGGGAACAATTAGTTTTGAAAGATCAAGATTTAATTATTTTATTAGTTAATTACAAGCTACTAATTTGTTTTTTATTATTTATTTTATTTAAGTTAATGTTGCTATAATTTTCTTTAAAATCCCAGAACATTCATAAAGTATTTCGTTGAGCTTATTGCGCATGGTGTGTGCACGCGACCGGGTCGTGTATATTTGTCTAAACGTTGGTCCCTATAATTGCTATTGTAATGTTATGTCGTACATAGCAACGCAGAATGGGGCGGACGACACCGCGCGAGTAGCGGCCGGGCTCTCCGAATAAAGGCACATTGAGTCATGATTCATTTGTTATCCTATATGCAGTACCTAACCTTCCCACTTCCTCGTTATAATATTTCTCATTTCAAGATCGGCCTAAAACTAGTTAAAGGGATTAACTAATTAATCTACTTTATATATTGAATTAAAAGTCACACCACTATTTTATCCGGTCGTTTAAATTTTCGTAATCTTCAATAATTTTGACATCACATCATAATAGTCCTATGACATTCAACTCCTCATCTCAATTCTACTCATTTTGGCAACTTGGTGGTGGAACTACAATTTGTCTAATTTAACTAAAAGGCATATTTGCCTACAAATTAGTACTAGAGCAAAGACAACTTAAAAGTTGTCTTCGCATTTGATTTCCCGCGACGAGGGTTGCGCCGCAGGTTGGGAGGACCATTGAGGCTCAACAGATCCATCCCACTCGGGAAACGACTCGTACATAAAATTGTCGGCGGGAGTGTCGTCCACTGCGATCTCCGTCCGACTAAATGCCTCGGCAAATTTCCCAATCTCTGTGGACCCAAACGCTTGTTGGAAAGCTGGCAGCGGAACTACTGGCGGCGCCCGCTTCTCTTCGGGAGGCGAGCGACGGGGCTCGACAGGAAAACGTTCACGAGGAGCGCGGCTTGCTTCACTCTGTGTTACAGCCGGCGTGAATTCGGGGGTATTTCTTTGCCTTGCACTGCCCTCTCCATTGTAATGCGTATCTTCATAAACAGGATAAGGCGTGGATCTCCCATCTTGTTGACAAGCCTGACTCTGACTATGCAAATGAGCACTCTGTAAACGCGTAATAAAAACAACCTTTGAATTATGATTAGCATAGGTAATAAAGAAAATAAGTTATAATATTTTACTGTTAAAATGAAGTTATGGTTGGTTTCACAATATTTACACAAATATTATAGAGAATATCCATTAATAACCTTCATCGGGCGACATTCAGGAGGATACCGCATGTGGTCACGCGAGCACGCATTGCGCGGGGCCCACCCGTTAGCTGCGTTCGCGCCACTCCAGCCACCGCCACCCATAGCACCCATCTGCTGAAAAAGAAAACATACATAGTAAGTACTGAAACACTAAGTCACGTAGTTAGTTAATCAAATGACACGTTAGAATAAAGTCAGGATTTTTTTTCTTAGTTAAAAATATATCTTCTCACATCAGATCAGATCTCAGAGTATATCTTCAGTGTATCTGTAGTCTCTATTATGAATTTCGAATTTAAAAGCATAGAGCATAACTTGAGCATCGGACTCAAACTCTTCCAACCAACATCACTTCTTTCTAATATATGGCGGCCCATCAAATATAATTAAAAAAATCAGCCTATAAAAAGTATACTAATAAAATAAACTGTTTGTATTTACGTATTACCTGATAATGCGGCCACATCTGCGGTTCGCAGTAAGCGGGACCCCGACCGTTCATTCCACATTCTAGCGGTGGCTGAAAATACAAAGGAGTTATTTAATTTTATTAACTCTATAAGATAATTGTAACACTTCCTTGATAAAATTACATTTATTTCTATTAATATACGTTCTTTGCGAAATTGAGCTTTATTTATTTAATCTTACAATTAAGAATTACATATCAGTATGTTATTAATGAAATATTAGAAGGCAGTAATTCTATATAAGTAACAATTTATGAATAAACATGTTGCTAGGCGTAAACCGAAGAAAGACTTCGTCAATTTGTCAATATTTTTTTCAATCGTTGTAAGTGATATGTTAAAGGTTTTGTACCTAGAAGGAAAATTATCGAAAAAATATTTTGCAAATCAAAGTTTCCACAAAAAAATGTGTATATATCAAATATATATACTGTATAGGTAGTATATATTTCAGATATAACCCGTGGAATGACGAGTATTATTTTTACCCGTGGTAGAACAAAAAAGGAGTTGGGCATCATTGATTACTGAGTAAGCGATCGTCAGTCCCACGCGGAGGTACTTATCGATTCAGACAGGAGCTAACAGACAGCTTATAGCAAACTCGACTCTAGGATTACTTCCGATATTGTTTTTTATTTTTATCAATGAATTACACCAACTTTACCCTATAAGCATTGACAATACCGTCTCTAAAATGTGCCTGCTAATAATTTATATTGTACTAGCTTCTGCCCGCGACTTCGTACGCGCAATCCCGATATTTCCCGTTCCCGTTCTTGATTTTCGGTAAAAAGTAAAAAAAAAAGAATTGGGTAAAAAGTATCCTATGTCCGTCTCCTGGTTTTAGGCTACCTCCCCACCAATTTTCATCCAAATCGATTTAACCATTCTTGAGTTATAAATAGTGTAACTAACACGACTTTCTTTTATATATATAGATAACTTAATTGGCAATGCGTTAAAACTAAAAATAAAAAACAAAACATTTTTTTAATTTTATGGCTTTACACCATACATAAAACTTTTTGAATAAGTTGCCAATGTTGCAAACTCCAATTTAAACTTGCAACCTCGTGTTCAACCGTCACGTTTTGTAAACAATAGGCCGAAGTATACAAAAGATGGAAAATATACAAAGATTTTTTTATATAAAAAGTCAGACCTGAAATTGTAGGTATTCTATTGTTCTTTCATTTGCGCAGTATACAACTTTTTCTTAGGCTAAGTTGAAGGATTGTAAGGCCTCGCATACAGTGGTGAGCGGTGCGCCGCTACGAACGACGCGGCTAGCAGAACCAGAATCAGTTTATTTGTATTGTATTGTCATATTTTGTATTCTAAGGATTTGAGACAACGGCTACTATTTCTGACTAATGATGCATTTTGTTCACAACATGGTTTATAGACAACTTTATCTAAAATAAAGTGAAAAGAAATTCTCCCCTGTGAAATAGAGAGGCAGAGGTGACCTCTAGGTGAGGTGTCATCGACTTTCCGCAAGTCAGAATTTCGAAACGGTTATCACCAATAGGTGTCTGGACTTTGAACTCTGTTTTGGACCTCATGTTAGATAATGGAATAATTGATTATAAATTAATTTAATGTTATATAATCATTATATGAACAAACATAGATTGAGATATGTTTTAAAATCCGCATCATTTGCAAATTTCATTTCAAGAAACATTTCAGCCTTTCAAGAAACGTCTAAAGCTGACCAGTTTCTATTTAAGTTGGATATCAACAGGACACACATTCACAAAAGCATAAAATCAGGGCTGATAATCTTCGAGAAATATTATACTTCTGGAAGATTATCAGCTTCATTATTATATTAAAATGATAAGCCTATAGACATCACAGCCAAACACCAGTCAAGTATTTCCAAAATTACACTCTAACTACAAATACCAAAAAGAAAACACCTAATACTACAAAGATTACCCAAAGTTATAAACTTAAAAGTGATAACTTCTTTTAAATAATAGTTAATATAAATACTGAATTAAATCCTAAGACACAAATTAATTGCGGTTACATTTAAAACAATTTCAAGAGGTTCACAACGCGGTAGCAACGGAACTAAAGTTATTTCTGCAAAAGTTTTAACCAGACAACTACCTGTTCAGATCTGTATTACTTATATTAATAATAAAGTTCCATTGTTCTACTGTTGCTTATAACTTTATTGTTATGCATATTTGTACGTATAGTAAGAATAGTAGAAAACAATTACTTAATGTTTACAAGTTTATCTGCATGCTTGTTCAAGAGCATTGTTTTATTATTCGTCTCTAACCGATTACCTATTAATATTTTTCACGGCGACAACTAACAACTACGCGAATATAACTTCTAACTAACTATTACAGTTACCCGCCACGATGCACGTAGCAACAGAACTTCGTCAACTCCTACACTCGGACAAATTATTGAAATTTTGTTAGAGAATAAGGTAATGTCATATACGTTTTTACAAAAGTATTTTGTTCGTTAATTTTTACATTTAGTTATGGTGAAATATGTGCACACGAACTCTACATGAGATAATGTTTAGTGGCGCGAGGGCGTGTGGAGGCGGGGTGGTCGCGCCGCCGATCGATGTCCGTTACTCCCTGTGCAGCGTAGCGTTGCACCCACTGCACTCATCATCATCACCTACCTTGATGAAAAATCATTTTATCATACCCCAAAATATAATAATAATATAAAAAAGTTCCTCTTCTTGTCTTTTAATAGGTGGTTACGAAAACCGCAAATAAATATTGTGCTACGGTGGTGCTACGCCGCCGCTACGCTGCTACGCGGTTTGAAGTTTTAAAGTTTCTTTTGGTTGTTGGATTTCTGCGTAAGATTTTATGATTCTCTTTGAATAATTTGATTATTTTACATGTAGTTTGTCGTTTAATTACGGTTTTGAATATTTTTTAAAACTTTTTAAAAGTTTTATAAAGACAAAATTTATTATCTACATTTCATACGTTTTAACTACTAAAATGGCTTTACTAAGTCATCCAGATATTAAAATATTTAAACTAGTTTTTAATAATTGATAACTAATTTTCTAACTAACGTTCCCGCATCCCTAAAGCCTAATAAAGTTCGTACATAAATATATGAATGCTCACGCTAGGTATTTGAAGCGTTATATAAACTCGTAATGGCCTGAAAACCGTTCATGTGTGGGGGAAGTAGAATAGTGACGGGAGATTTGCAGAGGCTAACTAACTATCGAGCGGCAAGCGGCGAGCGCGCGAACCACGTGACTTATCGATCAGCGCGGCGCCCACGACACTCGGAAAAATCAACCGCTGACAGCTTTCATAGGCCACCTCCACCTCTCCACTCACCCCGCGCCGCGCCACCGACACCCCCCCCCCCACTCCCCGCCCTCATTAGCGCCTTTGTGACGCTCACTTGTCTCGTAATATGACGCCGTAATGATACCACTTACGACTCGATTATTCGTTAACATTCCTACTAGTTGACTGCCTAAATCAGAGATGACGTTCTTGTTTTACCCTTTTAATTTTGCTGATTTTTATCTCTTAAATATATTCTTACAGACACAACAAATAATACACGTACATTCATAATACCCAAAGAAACGTCTGAATAAAGTCTCGCCAAACATATTCCCCGCCACATATTACCCCGTCCGTATAATATTTATTAACGGCACGTCGCATTTACCTAATTTGTAACGTCTGAGTAGAAATGACAACAAACTTTTGTTTTCAATGAGCAGTCATTTCAGAATTTGCACAACAAACTTTCCCTGACTGAATTCTATAGTGTGTTGCTTGAATTTAAACTCTATTTGCAATGCTTACGATTGATAATGTATGCATAGTGCCGCTGAAGAGTGAACGTTAGTAGCGAATGAGGATGTCAACTGTCCTCTGACACTGACCTACATAATTTTAACTAGTCTTTTTGTATGTCGATGACCTATTCCACAGTAATTCAATAAACAGTAGACTTAGTATAACTTATTTAAATGTTTCAAATATTGCTCGTGTCTTTGAAACTTTTGCATATAGATATAATATCTCATTGACTGTTTCTATTTTTATACGGACAATGATAATGTTTGTTTTGCATCATAAAGCCTTCAAACGGTATCGAGGTATGAGATAAGTAGTCATCTATTTCATGTAATATTAACATTCATATTTCCATAGTTCATTGTAACAAAATATTTACATACCGCTCAGAATGGACTGGATAATAGATATGTATCAGTCGCTTGACGTTCTTGAGCATGTTGTAAAGATCAGCGGAGGGGATTAGGGCATTTAATTGTGTTCGTTGTTCGTGAGTCAACTACCTCACACACTTATGTTGTATTCTATTCAAATTCAATTGTAAATTTCTATGCATTACTTGAAGTGGCCTCGACACAATACAACAAAACATCTTTTAATAGTATCGCTTACAAGTTACAAGGAAAAAGAGCAACAAAATAAATATTGTATTGAAACTTACATTGATAAAAATGCAAGATTACTATTTCGTACATTGTAACGTTCACAAAATCTTCTAAGATTTTTTAAACGGTTCTAGTTACCTACATTAACTTGTTCACAATTAAGTTTCCGAGAGATTTTCCAAAGAAACATTTTCCTTGCGAATCAAAGGACATTAAAGTCACGTCGTGCCTTTAAAAACTTTATTAATAGTTTTTCTTAAAACATAAGCTATAAAATTGGTATGGTGTCGTCTAATATTTATGTTTATGTTGGTATGCTTATGTTATAGTTTAGAGGGATAATTATGAGATATGAATTAAGTAAATAATTAAAATTAAGTTATTATTAAGTACTTATACTTTGAATGTTTCATATGATTAAATTTATATCAATGAAAAAAAAATTCAAATTTATAAGCGAACATAAAGAAACTTCTAAATGATTAAAATAGTAATCGTAATAAATGCCTAAACCCTTTTTGGGTGAAGAAAAATATTCACTAAGCAGTAGTTTCAGTAAAGGACTGTGATAATAAAATGTAATATGTAATGTAGTATACTGACCGTGGGTGGGAGAGGCAGGTGTTGAGCGGGGGTGTGCGCGCGCTGTTCCCGCCGCGCCAGCGAGCGTCGCACGCGCGCCTCCTTCGACGCGTACCCGCCGTAATCTAAACATGCATTGTTTATCATTATCTCTCCAACGCCATCATAATAGCATGCGTCAATATTGATCAACACCATTATTCGAAACCACTGACAAATTCCTTTCATCTCTGCATAGCACAAAGGCCAACAGGTTGTATTGCATTTTCAGAACTTCATACCATAAGCCGAACTACTCACACACACATTTACAGTTACATTTTTTGAACCACATTCTCGAGTGCACAAAACAATTTAGAGGATAGTCAGCAATGAGGAAATCGAGAGCACTGTTTCTGCTCATAACTTATGGACGTACACTTAGTTTATGTTCTCTACTAACTTTGCTGAAGTAGCACTCACGCTACCTACGTCATTGTAGGTGCCATTCCATTTAAAAATCGATCATAGGTGTTTTATGTACGTAGCGATGCAGCAATAGCAATCGAAACCGTGACCCTGAATGTTGGAGACGGATATTTTGCCGCTACGACATTTTGCTCATTTGCTGACGCGCTGAATCCTACATAATAATTTAAATGATGTAGCAATTTGCTTTCTTTCCGTATGTTTGTCCTTAACATACTTAAAATATGCAACTAAAACGTTGTATAACACGTATCTATTATAAATACCACTGTATAAAATCATGTAACAATGTAAAAACTACTCGTTTTAGCAAAAGTTGTGTTCTTTGTATACATTAATAAAACCCTGTGGCGTTCCGTTGCTAAGCAAAGTCGCCGATTGTTTATGATCATTTTCATGTCAGTCTCATTATGAATGTAACTGAACAACATTCAGTTGTAGAGCCACCCCAGTCCAACAGGGATGACTGAATACGTTACATAATTTAATCTCATAGAATTACTGTAAGTAGAATTAAATCAAGTGTTCAGTACAATAAGAAACAATAGTCATCATTTGTAAATTACCCCAAACTTCTAAAACTAGACCTTCAAACCTGAATAAGAAAATGTATTTACATCGTATAGCAAAGATTCCCATAAAATATTCTCAAGAGGGAAGTAAAGAGAACTAGGCCATTAAATTACCTACTACGGTTTATGACTATAAAACGGTTAAATGAAAATTGGGATGAATTTCCACCTAAATTAATTGGTGGATAAGGGATTGATTAATCGTAATGGGATTGTAAACATGATAATGTACAAAATATTTGTTCATATATCCCCGTAAGTAATATCGTCATAATATTAGTAGTATGTCAATGACACTTGCTTTACTTAGTTGGTCTGTAATGACTGAAAGTAATTTCATGTTAACGATATCATTAACATGATTGATAGTTGCCATAAATACCAAAATAGAGCAATTATTCTACTCAATATAGAAACAAATAAAACGTAATCATAAACCAAAGTTTATTTGATCAATTTATCAAAAAATACAGAAAATAATCTTTCATAAATAAATACACATCCCATTAATGCAAATGATCACTGTAACGCAATGAAAGCTGTCAAAGTGGCAAATTAATTTGAAGAAATTAAAATACAAATTGTTTGTTGTCCGGTTAAATTGTGCAAAGAATTCCATCTGCATATTCATTAATCGCTGACCTGACGATGACGACTTTTTTAATGATGAATGTATAAACTGGAATTCGTAAACAAGACAATATCTGCTTGCATTGTACGTTTCTAAGTAAACTGTGTGCATGTTCTATCAAAACGGATGAGCGCTCAGCATGGTCGCGTCAGTGCGAAAGTCGTTTCATGTTTTACGTAGCATTTATAAGGAGTTGAGCGTGGATAGCGGCACGGGTGTTAGTACCCCGGTCAATATGTAGAGTGGCTGTGCTGTGCAGGCGATCAATCGCGTTGCGGCGTGGGGGCGGGCGCCGCTGCCGGGCGGGAGCGGCGGAGGCGAGCGACCACCTGTAGCGCGCCCCGCGCACCCCGCGCGCCCCCGCCACCTCTGACATCGACACGTGACGTAGACACCGAGAAATCCGCCCAAACGTAAACATTAATTCTTACTTCATTCTTCATTGTTCAGAATGTCGCTTCGCGCCACGCGCGCGGATTCCGATCTCTCTCGTATTGGTAAACAAATTCAGGTCGACGCACACTCCGCGTACTTGTCAGGCATGTTATTATGCTTACTAACTCCGCTGGTGTATGTAATATACGTGAAATAGTTCAATACTTGTAATTCAATTACGTTCAAGGAATTAGTTACATATATTTCACTGCAGAATATGTACATAGGTACACTGACTACAACGATTTAATTTCAGGATATTGATATACTGGCGTGATCAAATCTTACTTATTTCGAGAAACTTTTTAAGATAACCCGGTTTTTGGCTGTAGCTTTGAATTAAAATACTGATTTAATAGCATTTTGTAGTCATTCATTCATACTTTTAGTAAACTTTTTTAATTTAGCATTGTTTTACTGAAAACTGACACTGATTTTTTTTTATTGTTTTATTTAATGGGGAACACGTCATACACTAATATTTTATTTAGGTATTATAAGGTAATACGTGATGTTGTATGCTTATTTACTAAACAATAATAATTGTTACATAAATTAATTGAAGCTGAGTAAAGTTGTACCGAATGTCACTTTTCTGATGTACTCAGTAGAACTCTTTTTTGAAATCTCTATTTATTATCTAGTACGAAGGCTAGTTTTAACTACAAATCAGTGCTGGTTAAGAAACGATATTTTTCGTTAATTTATAATACAAATTCAAATGTTTAAAATAAAAATAAAAATGTTAAAATATGGGGTAATGATATTAAAGTTTATTATATTGTATCTCTTTTAAAAGTCGTACAAACATTAATAATGAATATTGCAATAATCTTTTTGTACCCCATTACGTAATTAATGTATAATTACTGTAATGTACCTACTTTCATTAGTTAAACTGTGTGCATTTCAATCAATTAGTGTTTACTACCTTCTAAATAGCTGAAACAGAGATATACCAACCCATAGGCATGACATGTTCATGGTGCATGTGATGACTGGGATAATCATAGCGATAGTATCGCGCGTAGGGGTCGTGCGCGTGCGGCGCGTAGTAGGCGTGCGCGTAGGGCGCGTAGGGCAGCGGTGCGTAGCCGCCGTAGCCGTCCCAGGCGGGCGCGTACTGGCCCGGCCCGCGGTACTCCCCGTAGTTGCAGCAGTCCATGATGAAGGCCCTACGCGCCCGCCGGCGCACACGCAGGCCGCGACCGACATCCTCGCCAAGCCGCGCACCGCCACATCACCGCACTCTTGCGCTCTAGCAACCCTACCACTATTCAACTAAACTTGCCAAGTCCATGACTAAACCCACTCTCCCAAAAAATAAATTAAATCTTACGTTAAATCTACGACCGCTTATTTTGAAACTATGAAACAAAGTTTCTTTAAAATATTTCTGCTAAACTCTGAAAAATATTTCAGAGTGTGATGAGTACGCGAAGAGATCGAGCGCAGTTTCGCGGCGGGAATCGGACGCGGGTGCGACGTTAGTTAGCGAAAAGAGGTCGTTCGAGTTTGCCGGCGACGACGAGAGATTCGACGGACGAGGGCGGTTGCGGGGCGCGGGCCGCGAGGAGGGGCGACGCCCGCTCGCCGGCGGCTCGGCGCAGCGCGGCGCTCGACGGACGCCGACTGAAGGCGCCGCGGAATCGATACGCCGCCGCCGCCCGCGGCCGCCCGCCGCGTGCCCTCGCCGCCCGCACTACCTGCCTGCGCCCGTATTGCGCGCGAACTTTGTCTTCCCCGACGGAATTTTATATTTAGAACCATGGTGAAACGATTGATCGATACTTTGCACTATTAATTAGTACCTACACACTTTCACTAGATATTCCAGAAGGAAAACCTAATCACTTTCCTGCTACTTTCGAAACACTTTACGCAAGTTTCAGTACCGGAAGTCTTCCTTAACAATTTTGGTTATAGTTATTGATGTTTGAAAGAAACATGCTGATTCATTCAATTCGCGGATCTCAAACGTTTTGAATTTGCGAGCAAAAAGTTTAGTTTACTTAGTTTTTATTATGAGTAGTGCGAGAGTTGCGCTCTGTTTGTAGTCAGGAGGTGGATACTTGCAAAGTTTTATCGAATTGCGCGTAGGCGGCAGTGACCCACATCGGCGACAATCATGTGGCGCATCACCCGCGCCCTTCGTCCTTCGCCTGCCACTGCCTCTGCCGGCACCACTCACAACTTTCAATAAAATTGGTGTTATTGATATACTTACTTTACTAAACATTTCAACAATGTCTCTTTTAACCCATACCTTACGGATACTTTGGATCAATGTGGAGCAATTTCTATAATTCTATGTGTACTTTAAAGAAAAAAGTGTTTGACGTGTTGAAATTTCGGTGATTTGAGGTAGCTCTTCAATAATATTATAGATATACTTAGTGTGAAACTGACAAACAACGCAACCGTAAAGTAACAACTCTGCATGAGCCAAACGGTTCACGTTTTACAAGTTGCTATGAGAAAACTTTAAGTACTTTTAATTCGAAACGATCTTCGCGATGAAGATGACTGAACTCATGAATTTTTAAACGAAGGATGTTACAAAAGTATGCTGACATGTCACCGACACCGTTTACGATAGTGGGTAGTGCTCTACGCTGCCTCTTCATTAGAGCTGCCGTAAACATAGAATCATTAATACTCTACGACCATAAAACATTATGCAGAAGATTTTAATACAGATTTGTAGATACCTGCCTATTTAATAGAATAATATTTCAAAGCCTACATACTTACAGAGTGCGGAAATCAATATCAGGTTTCGTAAAGTATGAGTTCCTACGTAGGCACAAATTGATTTTTTGTTACAATAATTGCAAGCTCTACGTTACCCTTGCCTAACTGTAACGATACGACTTGCCATATCGTGTTCGTAATCCCAAAGAAACCAATAACTGGCAACCGACAAACTGCTATCCAGAGAAACTACCAAAAATCGTTTGAATCGACATGTTTGAGTTCTGCGCAACTCCACATTGAAAAAAGCGTGATAGTACGTAGGCCGGTCGTCTGTGTGATAGATCCTTCTGAAGCTATGTATACAGAGTACCTATGTATCACGTTACTTACTGTAGTGAGTTCACTCCGTCTACCAACTACGCCGGCGCGAACATTCAAAATTCCTGCAAGATCTTTACGCAACTGTTTACAGTTTTGAAATTGTTCAAATACGAGTATTTAGCCAGATATATTATTTAAAGTGTATTAATTTTGAACTTAGACATTTGTATACCTTTTATTACTACTATACTTGTTAATTAAAACGTTTGTCGTGTCACCAAAATAGCAGTCGTAGCAGAAATAAATTGTACATGATTAATAAACTATCTTGGATTATTATTACGAATAAGAATATAGAAATACTTTTTGCCTCTTAATGTTGCAAATCTGTATTTGTTAACTTTTGAATTATTATGAAACATGTCCATATGATCAAAATAAATAAATCAAATTTTAAAGTTGCGAATTATCTTGTGTTATATTTGTATTTCAGTTTTGTAAAAGACTTTGCTCCTACTAACGTCACGTGTTAGCCCAAGTTCAAGCAGACTTCGCGCAGTTGGTAACAATATTGGGGAGCAAAAGTAACAACAGTACAAGTGCTTCGCCGTGATAACGTATCAGTCAGCAATGTCGTCTATAAATGTGTCTCGGTAATTGTGTTCTAATGTATGTTGTGTAGTAACTGTAGAGAAGCCAGGCGCGGGTTATCATGCAGATTGCGGCGAATCAATAGGGGCGCCTCGGCCACTGACGGCGGATGACGATCAATAGCGTCCCAGTGGAGCTGTCTCCGCATTAAGGGGCTTCCTCGAACGCCCTTACACCTACCCACAGTCTACCTACACTTCGTACATAACTTAGTGTTACAATACGACCAATGTGCCGACTGTTTGTGTCGAACGCGTGTCAATATTATACATTTTATATTTTACTAAGTAGGTAGTTACGCACGTGACTGTTCTCTCTGAAATCTGGACGCCAGCTTGTTATCTACCTGGGTGTCTAGTTCCCTAGGTTGATTATTATGTCAGTTCTATGCTTTGAAGGAGATAGTTAGTTCGTAATAGTGATAATTAGGTAGGTATTTATAAATTGGATATTCATTAATGTTTCCTAAAAATCAATTAATACTGAAACAAAAATATCTTTCAATTATAAATTAACTGATTATTGAGCGTAATTAGCGTTTAAATATGGCTTATGTAACATTGAAATGCATTAGATGCATTCTTTCTGTGTAACTACTGATATGTGCGTACATTGTATGGTCTAAAATCAATAGCTATAGTAGTATCCTTAGATTCCACGATAGTCAATGGCAAATGGAATGAAAATATTGAGTGTGAATAGAATCTCATTCCATGCGAGCTGTAACAAACAGCTATGGGAAATGGGTTGTTGCGATGAGCTAGCGATCTGTCAATATCTATGTATGTACTTACTACATAGTTAAAGGTATGCGCACATCACGTGTAGCGCACCATCGACGACTTTATTCACTTACGGGATTCATCATTGATACTGTATGTTCTTTCGAGGGCCGAATTTTAGGTAGACCAGACAGACAAGAACCTCCTTAACTTTCGTAGGTACAGTCGTAGACAGGGTGAGCAGGATCCCTTGCTAACATGTAGCATACCTACTATAAACTGTAACTTGTGCAATCTTCCAAATAAAATCAGAAAATGTGAGAGAAATGAATCGTGCAGATTCATATACCGCAACCGCAATGCGAACTGTAAGGCCAGCATAATTTGCACTCATCTTTTTGTAGAAATGTAAGCGTATAAGTACCTATATTATTAAGTAAGGAGTTGATAGATTTTAAATAAATGACTGGACTTATTGCCAAGATAAGTATGATATGTACCTACCAACACACATAGGTATGTCTAAAGAAGGTAGGTAAAAACTTAATACCTATGTAGATCCTTTTTTAATGTCTTATGTAATTACTAGGTTCAAGTATGTACCTACCTATGTAGTACTTTCATATTAGGTAGGTATAGTAATGCAAAGCATAATTATTATCCAATATTTTAGTCCATTTGTTTTAATACACCTAACGTAGATGCATTGGATCAATTGTGACGATGTTAACAGTCCATTGGCTAAATAGCTTGGTAGCTAACGAACTTACGCGCCAACCCAGCCTCTTAGGGGTGTAGACAGAGAATCGAGCGGTTGTTTCCCATGCCGGAGCCTGTATCTACATTTACTTATATGTAGGTAGTCTGTAGGTACCTGCATCAAGAATTCATTTTATGAAAACTTATTTAAATCCTGTTCTTTTGTGTGTACGTGGGTAAAAGATAGGCAGATACTATCTATTAAATGAGTTGAAATTGTCTCTCTATTGTTATGAACTTACGAACATTTATATCTAATTATCTACGTAGGTTTCATTCTGAATCTACACAAAACTGAAATGGCTACCTAAATCAGATTTTAATAAAGTTACCTAAGTTTTCCTATTTGATCAATTAGATAAATTGGCCCTTATAAACTGTTAAAGAGTAAGTATTAAAGACCACAGAGAGAGACAAAACAAACCACTTTCACGCACCAACTAGGTATTTAAAAATCCTAAAAACATCCTAAATCAATAAATGAGTGTTGTTATACTTACAGCTTATCTTTTACCCTTCCCCATTGTCAATCTAGACGCCATAGGCTATACACCGGCCTACGTATCGCTACAACCGCTCTCTACCCTGCTACTTTGTGCATCCCTCCTTTCTCAGCGTGCCAACTCGGCGACAATCTGACGGCACCCTTTATAAGCTATGGATATAGAGATAATAAAATTTAAATAGCGTAAGCTAAGGCGGGAACATAGTCCTGTTTTTTTTTGAGACAGTTTTGTTTGTTTTAAAGATAAAGATATATTTATTTCTAAGTACATGGTATTTTGTTTACCTAATAAATTAAGGTCTCATTTAATTAATCGAGTTTTCAATAAGTAGGCGTCACTTAATACTTAAATAATTTTCAGATTTGTTTTTGTCATATTTTATTGTTATAGTAGATTACATAAAATTTTTGTATTTGGGTAGGATGGGGAAGTATCTGAGGAAATAATAAAAATTATTATGAAGCATAATTTTTATTTATAACATAATTTAAAATCATGTAAATCGTGTAAAATTCTGAATAAAATATTCAACAATATTATATTAACGCAAATATAATATTTTATTTAACCTAACTATAAATTTAACTATAGCTATTTAGATTCGGTAACCTAATCTATAGGTAATGTGTTTCACAAAATAACAATTTTCACTAATGGCATTCGCTGGAGTAATTCAAATTAACAATTCGTACTATAAAAATATTTGAGATAACAGTAAGTAGAAATAAAGACTCGTCTTATTACTACTAATATTAAAACTATGAAATAATAATGAAAACGACAGAGAATTACAGGTAACTTAAATTCCAAGTAACATTCTACTAATTCAATAACTTATTCAAAGAAACATTTTGGCACAATACCAAAAAGAAAATTTCAAATAGATAATAACTTATTTCTTATATTTATTGTAAACTTAATAATAGATATTCCACATAAAGTGGCTGTATTCGAAAGTAATAACTTAATTAAACATTTATCAACAATAAAGGACAACTTAAATATAGTAGTATATATTTGCATTTCTTGTAACATTCAAATTTTGTTTGGCATTGTGGATCATACAGTGTAATAATGATATTCGTAATAAGATCCAACCAATTTAAGCACCTATTAGTAATTGTACGGGCTCGGAGTGATCAGGCTGTGGATCAGTCCTCAACGAGCCAGTGGACTGTATAAACATTTGTTGTTGTTCACAGTAATTGTAACAGTAACCTTTTTTAAATACATATAACAATAAGATCTCTGGCAATTCCAACAGATTTCAAACTTGTACAATCTGAGAAATTCCTTCAACACTCACATATTTGTAAATCCGCATCAAAAATGTTTTACTCTATAATACACATACTCGAACATTCGTTTACTCGCCGCCTATGTTGACCGATGTGAGAAAATTGCCTTACAATTTTATCTATGATTCTTCTTGTAATACAGTATCCTTAAACTAAATACAGCCAATTATATCTATAATATCACTTCCCACAGTGAATTCAACAAGTGTCTGCCAAAAGCATACAACACTTGAATTTGTATATGTATGCACCTTAATTACGCACTTTAGTTATAACCACATATTCCTATGGTTTGGAAATGTTACTTTATTTTTGCAACATTTCATGAAAGCACAGATGCACTGGATATTTTTAAACTCCAAAATACTGAACTGGGTCATTAATAATGGACAAAATCGTCCTTTAAAGTATTATAAAAATTTTATACCTTTTCAAGCAAAAGCTATCAGTCTCTTCCACTGCTTCATTTGACCTAAAATATATTTAGCAAGGCATTGGTTGTCGTTCAACAAGGCACATTAGCTTACCACCTCATACATCCACTGTCCTAACACAATTGACAAAGAACCTAAGGCACATGTTTGCAGGATAATAAATGAAAATTAATTCCTTTGACCATGACTTGTCCACATATGTTCTTTGAATGTCTCACGCATTGTGAATGACCTTGGACAGAGGTAGCAACACAGTCTATTGGTCAAGTCAGAGTGCATTAATCTGACATGATATTTTAAGGCTGACTGGTTGGAATACTTCATGCCACAGTGAGGGCAGTCACCACATATAGCAGCATGGTTTGATTGCTGGTGCGCGAGTCCTTGCGATGTGGAAGCGCCGCCACCCAGTACAGGCACTGCGGACATTCCAGCTAGCATGAGTAGAGCTTGAGATTGATCTTGCGTGAAGTTGCTATCCGAGTCTGTACCGTCTTGATGTTCTGACAATAACACTTCTGGTTCATATTCCACATCAGATTTTGGCGACTGTTTTTCTGGTTTCAAATGTAATTCTTCAGTAATCATAGACTTCACAGGACTTTTAGATGGGGCATTGGTGAATGTCACAGTATCTGAATTAAGAATATCTTTTGACCGACTCGAACAATGCACATCTACCATTACATTTGACACTTTCTTTAGACTTGAGTTATTGGCACAGGCTTCACTTTTCGATGGATTTATTCCTGTAATTAAAAAAACACATACATTAAACTTTTAGTCACACAATATATTTCCTAAATTTTATTAAAAAGATCAGCAAAAATTTTATCCACAAAAGTTTTTTTGTGCAGCAATGAACTAGAGAACAAGAAACATGATAAGGAACAGAATGTGAAAGAAGTTACTTAAAATTTCTATTTAAATGGGGATTATTTACTTTTCATTTAGAATGTCTTCTACATACCTGAGAGCAGGGATCTGGCAAGCATACTGTTTTCATAATCGGGAAGACTTTCATCATTTTCAGAGTTGGCATTTATTGAGAGTGTGGGTGAGTTGTTGTCATCTGTCCTTTCTGTCTTTATTGTTACCGGAATGTTGTCTCCTTGAGCCACCTGCAAGTTTTACAATTATTATTATAAGTTAAATAAATCAGATTTCTAACTAAACCTTTTATTTAAACATTCATAATAAGCTGGGCTGCAGATCAGTGTGAGACAATGGGTTTTCTATTGTGTCTCATATAGCCGCTGACGGAAGGTTGAAACACAGACTGACTGCACGCTTGGCCCAGTCGCTGGCCAACCGACTGTCGCGCCACAAGTCTTTGATTCCCACACTTACCAACTGTTTGTGATCCACAAATTGTTTGTTTTTAATGGGCAAGAAAATTAGTTCAATTATTCAGTGTATATTTAAATTATAAAGTAAATATAAATATACTGATACCTGAGATGATGAACTTTTTCCATTTGCTGTTATTATTGGTGTATCAATTTTTCCATCACTTTTCTTGTCTATATTATTTTCGGGAAAGAACACTGGGTTGTCGATTTTAGTAGCATGTGCGAGGTTACTTCTACTATAAATATCAAAGGTTTCTATAACTTTATTCTTTTTAGGGCCATCTCCGATGGTAACGTCAGTAGGTTTGTCCGAAGTACTACTTCGTCTTTTCTTCAAAGCTGGCAGTTTTGTTTCCTTGTGAGCAGCACCAAATAATGGCTTAGAAGATATAGTTAGTTGTGTGTATAACTTATTTGATGTGTTCGGAGATGAAAAGTTTTCCTTCTGTAATGAAATATTGTATAATTTTAATGGGTACTTAAAGAACTTATATAATGAGAGAAGAATAGAATATAAAGAATGTTGTAACACCAATAAATAAGAAAAAAAAACTACAAATAAATTATTTCCTTATTTTAAACACAATCATAATACTCCAGCTAGAGTCAGAATAGCAGAATATTCTGAGGATATCTATGTTTGACACCAACTCTGAATAGACTGACAATAGAAATTATGTCCATAAATGTTTATTTACCTGTTGTGTCACACCAGTTAAGCCTTTTACTTGTAAAAGCGCTGCTGTGTGCAGGAAAGAAGATAGTTTACTCTCTTCTATGAACACTTCTCCTTGGTACATGTAGGACAGTAGACTGACAATGTCATCAGCAGAGACATCTTTCAGTATAATCACTGGATGCTGGCATGGATTTTCCTGAAATAATAAAACATACACAATTTTATTTACTTGAGAGATTGCATAAGTTTTTAACACATATTCTATGAGAAAGAATTGTCATCTAATAGCATTCAATAAAAACTTAAAGAAGAATAATACTGCAGACAGAAAATAAACTAAACTTTAATTCATCATCTAGAAAATAACAGGGTCAAACAGAATGGAAAATTAAAAGTAGCTATGTATACATGTTATATGTTCATTGATATAAATATGAAGGTTATTAATGTCCTAAGTCATTCACCTTGAACACATTCCTGAAGTACGGGCTGCACGCTGACAATATGACTTTGTGGGCCTTGATATTTCTGCCTTCACAGGTGAGTGTAACGTCGACCAAATCTTCTGAACACTTCAATGAATCCAAGGCACTCACTATGTTTGACTGGAAGTTGTTCCAACGTAAACAAAATTGATCAGCCATCCCTATGGTTTCTGTACAATATTCTGCAAAACAAAAATAATTATGCTGACTTCTAGTTTTGACAAATGACAGTGTATGAAACCGTTGAAACCATACGTTAAACGTAAATTAATACAAACCTGGAGTAAAACGCTCATGACACTAACAGATAACATTAGTTTTAATTAATTTTTGCTATTTTATGATTCAATAACTTGTAAAATGCATAAAAAATGCAAGGCATGACCTCCATACGCTTGACACTGTCTTTTTCTTTCACTTTCTTGCAAAACGTTTTGTCTATGAATTAATACCATAGAGAATTGAGATAACTATTGGCTTTCGCCACCGACTTCGTTTCTGCTGAATCTATTCCGATTTCGAGTCAATTTAGAGTTATGAAATTAAGATAAACTGCAAAAAACTCCTTTTAAGGCTTTAAGTAAGGCAGTAGGTGGAAATCGAGTTAAAATAACCCCAAGTTTATGTCTTAACAATTTTCCCACTCTATGTTTGTGTAATTGTTTGTCCCTTTTTACCGAGACTAAATTTATTTATTTATATTTAAATTAAATATTACATTTCATCATCACAGGCACACCTAATACAATAAATGCAGTAACATATTATAAGTAAACCTAAAAACTATTATAACTTTGATCAACATTAACTATTAGACATAATCCCATAATAACCGTAAAATAATATAGAAAAACTAAAACAGAAAAACATAAGCTCATAGAACTTTAATAGAGGCTAATACATTTACACAAAACTATCCGTAATATACGTAAATAACTTTAGTAATAACAATTCTATTTTTATAATCTATGTAGGTACTATCAACATAAAATAAATAAATAGATTAAAAGAAAGTACAAATCCAACTTAATCAACAACCAATTATTAATTATCAACAGCCTCATATGTTATCTTTGTGAACTCGTTGAGTGTACACGAGAATATATCCGTTCTGTCTGCTATTGCATTCAATATGCGCAACGCTCGCGTCATTGGTGCCTTCTGCAAGAGGTTCGTGCGTGCGAACGGTGCCACCAGCAGCCGCGGCCGCCGCGGCGCTGCCTACGCCGCACGTACTCGTCCGGAACACACAGCCGTAATTCCTCCAGTAGGGCAAGGTGGTGCGTAAATGTACTGAAGCCTCAGCACTCGGCAGTAATATTGGAACAAATTGGGTTTAGAGTATTTAATCTGTGAGGTCTGGTTCTGGCACTCTACTTTTTCTTACATTTTACTTGCCTACCTTCTTATTCGAGGCGAGAGCAGTCATCTCACGTGTTACATATCTGATATCGTGTAGATCTTTTCTCTATAAAATAATACATGCATCCAATCATACATTTGCCTATAATAGCTATTCTCATCAAGGATATTGGAAAAAGGTTTGGGAGAAACTTTTTGATTAAAGTCAAAAACTCGAAACCAACCATGGACTAAGATTCATTGACAATAATACAACTGTCACGTCAAAGTCAAATCCCGCTGTCAATCTATTGAATGTCAAGACAGAAATTTTGAAAAATTTTGTTTGTCTAGCGACGCGGTGCGGTGACTCGTGTGATTGTGTGATTGAAGACAAAACGACAACAGTATCTTTGTTTTCACTCAACTCTTTTGTCTGGTTTAGATAAATAACATCAAGTCTTTCTATTCAGTGACGTGAAAAAATGGCTAACGATCCCGAAAGATTTGATACGATGTTGTTAGCAATGGCTCAACAACACGAAGGAGGTGTTAAAGATGTAAGTATGTTATAGTAATCTTACAAAAAACATTAAACCATTTTAAAAGATTCATATAAAAATACATGTTTTTATCAGTTTTTCCACTGAGTTCTCCTCATTTAAAAACGTAGCTGGGTTCTCGATTGTTCTACAAAGTTCTATGGGATTATTGATCACATGTGATTCCACAATCTAGTTTGCTAGGTTACCGAAATTGTATTGAATAACACAACCAAATGTTCAATTTGAATTAGCTTGGCTTGGGCTTGGGCTTGGGCTTGGGCTTGAATAGCCTTTGCACCATTATGAAAAATAAATTATGATTTTTATTTTAATGTTAAAAATTTCAGCATTTATTGGCAATCATTTAAACAGATATTTATATTTTTGCTTGTATTTACAAGCTATTTTTTATATAAATATAATTTTAGTCAATTTCCAAATGCCATTAGGATTATACCTTATGTATTATCTTTTTATTTAACAAACACATATGTTACTGCATGTTCTAAAATTAAAAATCCATTGGTATCTCTTTTAGTAGTAGTAGGTATAGACTTCATAGATTCGTAAAAAAAAGGTCTCATTAGGAATCTCTCAGGTCTCATTATCTCATTAGGAATGAAATCATTCTTATTCTTATACCTGTTCCTGTTGTATGGCAATATTATAGGCTTATCCTTATTACATGAGCCTCAATATAAATAGTAAAAGGCAGGTTTTATATTTAATTTGTACACCTCAGACTCAGACTATTCCTTTGGGTATGAAAACTAAACTATTTAGTCTAACTCAAAATGTAACTACATTTTGAGTCTGCTCAGAATCTTGAAGAGGTACCTACTTAATTTTGTTTTCAATTATGCCTATTACAATATGTTTGACCACTCAATAATTTCACAATATTAAGTAATACCTTATTCTATGTAGTCATTGGATGATAAGTATCAACACAAGTGGCATGATTAGTTATTTAATTTAACATAAACTTTGTTGTTTGTAATGAGTCAAAAAAAATTTACAAGAAGGTGATTGTAAGTAACCAAAAACTAGATTCAATACCAGTTTGCAATTAATACAAGGTTTCATAATGAACCAAGATATCCATAATAGGTACCTATACCCATAGTATAATAGCTAAAAAATATTAAATAAAACCGTTGTGCATGCCTTTTTCAGCTGCTGAACACAATAGTAGGCTTCCTGGCAAGAAAGACAGACTTCTTCACTGGTGGCAAAGGAGGTGAATGGGAACAGGTAAGCATACTGGCTAGGTATATTGAATACTAGCTACTTCGGCGCGGTTTCACAGCTCTGCTCAGCTCTTATTGGTCGTAGCGTAACGTTTTATAGCCTATAGCCATCCTCGATAAATGCGCTATCAAACACAAAAAACATTATTCAAATCAGACTTGTAGTTATGGAGATTAGCGCATTCAAACAAACAAACAAAAAAACAAACTCTTCCGCTTTATATAATAGTATAAGATTGTAAAATTGTATATTTAAAGTCAATTACATTTATTTTACAGGTGGTGAAAGATACATTCTATGTCCATGCTAAGAAAGCAAAGGAAGAGGCTGATAAAATAAAGAAAGAAAAGGAAGAAGCAGATAGAAGATTGAAAGATATCCAGCAAAAGAAAGAACAAGAGCGAATGGCTCAGGACTTTGAACCAGCCTCTGTTACAGAAATAACAGACCAGGAAGCTGTTAAAATACAAGAGGATATTGACAAAGAAAAGAAAACCCGTGAGTTAATAGTTCACTGGCTGATTTATTTTTTATTTATTTTATTTACATGTCTGTTGCTCTGAAATATTTAACAGGCTCTTGTTTTCATTAACCGTTGTGTTTTGTATAGTAATTTATTATGTCTCATAACTGCTTTTCAGAAAATCAGGCTGAATTCCTGTTGTTTTTTTTATATCAATAACTTACATGGAGTTTGTATATTGACTTATTCGACTGCACGGTTGGTGCGGTGGCTGGGCAACCGGCTGCCGTGCAACGTGTCGCGGGTTCGATTCCCGCACGGGACAACACTTTGTGTGATCCACAAATTGTTGTTTCGGGTCTGGGTGTCATTGTGTATGTGAAGTTGTATGTTTGTAAACGCACCCACGACACAGGAGAAAATCTTAGTGTGGGGCAATGTTATATTAAAAAAAATAAAAAAAAATAAAATAAATATTCTCATAAATAAGAATGTGCTCTGGTTTGATTAGCCAGAATGAATGATTCAAGTTTGGTAATTTTGGCATACCTACATTGGGTTGAGTTCTGTTTCAAAAAAATTAAGAAATATGTCATTAATACCCAAAGTCTTGCCAATTTTAATTTATTATTGTTACATGTTCACATAATATTTTAACAGAAACGGAAGTTGGCAGTGGAGATGGTACTCCAGTTGAACCAGAAAAAGCAGCAGAAGCTGAGGAGGAGGATGATCCTAAAGAAAAGAACAAACTTAAGCCTAATGCAGGCAATGGATGTGACCTTGAAAACTACAGATGGACCCAGACTCTAGAAGAAGTTGAGGTAAGCTAAGCCTTTCCTGCTGTTGTTAGTATTCAGTGAGGGGAACTGTTTCTTTTTGCTCATCAGATGACGAATGTAGTATGAGATCTGTATGTTCAATATAAAATAAAGTATTGAACCATAGGACATTCAATTTTTGGCAGTTGCAGTATTTGGACAAATGGATCTTACACTACATTACCGCTATACGTTAAAGAGTGGTAGTCCTGATAACGGCGACTGTCTACACGAAAAACTTCAAAGACATACCAAGAGATGGCGCTTTGTGTATTGCGCAAGCAAAGTTCTCATGCGAGTTGTTAGCTATAGGAGTTAAGACTAAGTTAACTGTCTCATCATTAAATGAGTAGTTTGTTTATTGGGTGCCTTAGCAAGTTCACCTATTATTATACTAAAGCAATTTGAATTGAATATTTTTTTTATTGGATTATAGTATCTAAGAAAAAAAACAGATAAGGTTATAGTTAAAATACTAAAACAGTAAAAGTACTTCAAATACCTACGATAGTTTTTACTTAAAACCTAAAGTAGGTAAGGAGGTAATAATAACAACGCAACTTCGTTATTTTTCGTTTATTATCACAGTTTGTCGATAACAATTGAATTAATTTACTTTAATAAAACCATATTAATCATTTTCATATAATTATTATGCCACTGCCTTATTACAAAATAGTCCTATAACAAACGTTATTATGTATAGGCAATAATAAAGGTGCAGATTTTCATGGTTCTTACGAAAATTTGCAACTTTTTACACATTGAATAAAATTCGAATAAAAGCTGTGTCGATATTGTATGCTAACGATATAACAACATAATATTAGTGCAGTTCAAATTATTGCGCCTGAATAAGCAGTTACTACACCAAATAATGATTACTTTGGTACTAAAATGAACTTAATTGGCTTTGCAGAAATATCAACAGTAATAAACACCTATTGCTACCCTTTAGTTGGATGTGTAAACAGGCCCCTTTCGCTAATCTAATCGCTTTATAACGCTAAATCTAATAAATTATTACGTTTTCGGCTTACTCACGTAATAATTTGAAGAGGAACTCGAATAGTTTCAAGCCATGCTAGAGGCTCATATTCATGAGCAGCATTTCGCGACCCGCTACTGGCTACTCGAGTGTCATCGTCAAATTATTACGTGAGTAAGCCGAAAACATAATAATTTATTTAGTGTGTCTCACGAAAGTTACAAAGCTAAATCTAATATCGACAGTAACCACATTGTAAATTGTGACGAAATTCAAATGTGATGTTTATAGGACGATTGGATCTTGTCTAGTTAGCCAATTTTTACAAAGCTTTGGTTCAAGTGTAATGTTGTATTACAGAATCTTTTATGGTCTATATCACTAGAAAACATACAATGTCGACGCAGCCATTAAAGAGACCTAAATAATACCTACTTATTTCATAAATTAATCACATTATAATTTAAACTATTATCAAACACATTTTACTTAATATCTATTAAATAATTTGAATACGTCATAATATAATGTTATGAATTAATTATTTCATAAAATCGAGAGGAAACCAATTTAGCCTTCAGATTATTTAAAAATAACGTGAACATCACAGCTTAATAGCTTAAAATAAATAAAGTTTTACTTATTGTTAAATTATTCTAAATTATTGTATAAACTGGGTAAGTAATATATTGCACTATTGTATTGTCTAACTATTGGTACTTATTGAATGTGAAGCAATTGTCTAAAAATGTTACAAACAGTTTCTCGCGTGTAATATTTAGTTACAAGACATTGTCGAGTAACAGAAAACTGCGAGCTAAGTAAATTGTGGTCGATTAATCAATACTTATACAGTTATCACTTGAGATATACTCGAGATTAAGAATATTTGTACATCCCTGTCTCCTTGCGCATTCGCACTGAAACAAATAAGAAAAATTGGTTAACACATTGTCACATTCCCAGACTAAAATTACATTTTCTTGGCATGACATGTTACTGAATTTGTATTAAACTTAAGGCGTTACTTTAATAGTTAATTGAATGAGAATTTGAGTGGGTAAAATAATGATATATACTCACTTTCAACGAAGCATATGGCTGCGAGTATGCACGCAGAGAACAGTATCGTCATTGATATAACGAGGACAGTTATCTGGTGCGAATGATCGCAACAACAGGATTTGGGTTCCTTCCCTGTGCGATGTTTCGTGTAACCGTTGACTACGGTGAAGTGGGTCGAGCTGGCGATTGACTGCGTGTCCTGACCCGGACCCGAACTTCGTTTGACACCATTCCAAACAGAGTCCAAACCGTCATGTGACTCCTCAGGAATGGCAACCACTGCATCTGAATGTCCTGATTTACGTCCATAGCTCCCTAATTTGGTGTGATAGCTTCCAACCTCATCTGGTTCTGCACTTCTTCCGTGCATGCGTGCTAAATGCGCTGCGCTCAGTAGCAATGAGCCTGATGATACACTCTGGAAGTAAGAAATACATTATAAGTAGGAGATCGGAAATTCTCAGTCACAAGTTACACACAGTCTTAGAGTTTGCAACTGCACAGGGACGTAGCTAGTGCCGTACCTGCCTTATCAATTATATGGGGCCCCTAGACCATAGGAACCGCCAACGTGCGTAAGCAAATTATCCATAAAAAATTCCCAACTTGGTTATTTATTTCAGAAATCACTAGTCGCCAAATTCATCTTAAAAAATGGCGGCCAATATCATTTTTTCCCCCTGTGCATTTTATGAGAAAACGTTTACTTATAAATTAAACAATTGTAAGAGCCAGTTCGCATATTTTGTACGGAACCCCAACCAAGGCACTCTACGCCACTGCAACTGTAACCAGAGTATGGAACCAGGCTCATCCCCTATTAGGTACATAACATAAGTGTCTACTTTAAATAAGTTATATTTATTTTCAAGTATAAATTTGTTCAACTACTTATATGTGTACTGTAAAAATGCTATGCGGTAATAAAACCGTGCGTTAGTAAAAGTAACAATCTCTAATCGATTTGAACTCGTCGACATTAAGTGCTATGGAGTGCTGCGTGGGTCGCTGTTACCATGTGTAAGTTATGTCACGATTCTTCATAAGGAACTTTGAACTTATTGTCGCAACGCGACGAGGCGACGAGGCGTTTGTTCGTTTAAAATGGTCTAGACCAGATATCGTCTATTTATGGTCCTGCCTAAAATACATTTCATGTTCTTGTTTGCACTAACAGTTTGCACATATTGTTGGAGCATTATTCCAAAATATGAATATATTCATGACCTTCAACATCTTGTACAAGGTGCATATTGCTTAAATCAAGAAATAGGTTCCACCAAGTAACCAACGCTGTGAGGTTTCTATTAGTCTCAAATCGCTAGGAATGTTAATGTCGAAATATCACATTGCAAAAGACTTGTGCTGTGTAAAAATATCAATTTATGTTGTCTTAATAATGTGTGAATCTTTAAACAAGTCGTTCTCGCAGCCATATTAAATTACGAAATATAGGATTAAAAAGTTCGTATGGGCACGTGAGTCAAAGGCATGTTTGTAAATTAAATCTTTGGCCGAAATGTTCACCATTAACAAAAATATTTATCTTAATAACTCATTAACATCTAGGTAATGAACACATGTAACACAGATCTATTTTATTAAAATTAACAAGGTGTGTATAATGATCTATCTCAGTCAAAAAGATAGTAAAAGTGTTTGAAAACGTGTATTTAAATATGACAAAAACGTGTCAGGTACTTTACGACAATCGGTTCTTCTAATAAAAAATTATAATGTTTGTTTTATTCATTATAGATTCCAATATCAAACAATATAAATATTGTACAAGAGACCTTTAAAAAAATGTTCAACTTGTGTGTCAGTTTTGCAACTGTTGTCAACTCAAATTAAGCAATCTGTGGAATGTTGTATGAGAATGAGAACGTACAAGTTTAGTGGATCCTGTACCGGACACGGCAATATCAACCAGTTTCTTGACCCCGTCAATTATCTAAATGTGTATCTAATGTCATACAAAAACAATATCGAATTATGTATAACAAACAAAAAATGTACTTTTTATTGTTAATTAGCCGAATATAATTTCAAACACACCACGAAGGTGCAAAATTAGGCATGAACTTTTTATATCCAACGGCTGCTTTAATGTCATTTACTTAAAAAAAGTATCGGTGCATAAATTACGTTTGTTCTATCGATACACAACGTGAATTCTTGGCTTGTAATTGAAGCGGAAACTAAGTTCGTAATCATTGTGACGCATGATTTAGAAGGTCAACTTACGTGGGTACTGTGGTTACTTGATGAGCCTTGGCTGGAGGCGGAGCCACCACGAGATCGCGCATCGCTCAGGCTCCCGGCTCCGCTACTGCCCGATAGCGATGGTCTCGGTATGTGCCACTCCTGTGATGAGATCTGAAATCATTCACATTAATAAACATGAGCTCTTCACTTTCAAAGTAATATTAATATTTTACAAAAACATGCCTCGATCTACTTAATCTGAATAAATTCAAGATCGCACTTAAAATATCTCCGATGCCAATATCTGATCTTAAATGCATCTAACAATCCAACTACATTATGTACTAACATTGATGAATGAAAGCACTTTCATTTTTGCACTTTCATTACTCTACATGATAAGCTGCTAGAAATGATTTTCTAAAAAGCTTTGTTCAATTTAAACACTACATTTGAAAGTAGGTCGAGTTGCCTCAAGTGTGTCAAAGTATACTTAAAATATTCAAACCAAATAGATGTCAGAGTTTCTACCTATTCATCTATTTGACGGCTAGAGACAACGTTCTTAGTTTATGTCATTAACATGAATTTAATTATAATCTGTAGCAGGTCCTTGCATACATATTCATATTACAGTAAAAGGACTACATGTCAGACATTCTCTTTCCTTCTATCTGAGCAAATACCTGTAAACGCATATTAATTGATATCAAACAACTCGATCACTGCCTACGTAGATATA